GGAGTTAATCACAGGGCTTAGGAACTTACAGGACTAATTGCCCATTGAGCAAATAATCAGGAGCCAGTTCCCATCCTGCTGCAGTGAGCTCCTTCCACCAGGACCCTGTCCTCCTGGCTTTGCCCTGCCAGGTCACCCAACATTGAATCACCCTTTGGAATATTGATCTCTGCCCCCTGCCAGGAGAGAGCTGGAATTTAAGCCAGGAGATGAGCGCATCCACTGAGCATCGCTGTGAGCTGGGATGAATCCGGACCCACAGTGCCTGGTTTACCTCATGCGGCTGCAGGAGCAGCAAGTTGAGCCCTGGCTGAAGCTTATAAGGTTTCCAGGGATCCTGCTGAGAGATCTGGAGCTCTGCAGTGCTGACATCTCCTCCATGCTGTGGCTGCTCCACCAAGGACGGTGATGGGGATATCCCCAGGATGCTCAGCCTAAGAAAGGAGACCAGTCCTCCTGGAAGGGCCCTTGGGCACCTCTTCCAGCACCCAGAAATGCTTCTTAGTCTTTGCCCAGGATGATTCTGCTTGCAGTTACATTGAAGTGTTTGAAAGAGTGGCCTGAACAAAAACTTTGAGGTGGAAAAACCTCCCAAAGCCAAATGCTCCCTTTCCAGAATATGTTGGTGCAAAAAAAAACCAATCAGCAGAATTTGGGACTTACAGAACTGACTCGAATTTCATGTTGTGTCAATCCCAGTGTAAGGTGTGGCGTGGCACACAGCTGACACACCGACAGCTCCTAGTGTAGCACCGCACCACCTGAGAAGTTAGAATAATTGCTCTATTTTTACAGCTAATCAGCAGCATCTGGTTCACAGTGGAAGATCAAAGCTCCCCGGGATCAAAGTGTTCCATCTTTGTCAGGATATCAAAGCCAGATTTATTGCTCTCTGACTGGGTTTGTTTACGGGTGCAGATAAAAGGGACGAGCTGCTCACAGCACTTCCGAAAGCAGGAGGGCGCTGTCAGTGGGGTGATCCCAATATTGCACCATGCCACAATCTAAGGCATCAGTTGTAGCGCTGGCCTTATAAATCAGCGTCACATAAAGACAGCACTGAAGGCTGCAGCTCAGCTGGGGTTAAAAATCAGAGCTCAAAGCCATCATCTCCTATCAGACTAAGGAGAGATAGGAACTTGAATCTTCCACCTCGCCAGCAAGTGCTGTAACCTCGGAGCTGTCAGATAAGGGATGTGTTGCCTTCCTCTGCTGCTCTTCCCTCCTCCTCTGTGTCCTTTGTTTAAGACTCAGCCTCGGAGGCAAGCTGGGTAAAAACCCATTTGCACCATGCAGGGTGCTGAGCTGCTCAGCAGCATCAGGCTTCATCAGCATGAACCCAGGCAGCCGCACCATGCGGGCTGCTTGCAGTGATTAGGTGGTTGTGGTGGCATCTTGGGGTTAGGAAGTGGTGGTGGCATCTCAGGGCATGGATCAGGCACTCCTGGGTCTGGAAGTGCACTTGAATCATCTGCAGCAGAGCAGCTGCTTGCATATTTATTTCATGCACGAAGACAAACAAAGAGAATTGCTGTGTAATGAGGATCTTCCCAGGCGTGGGTCATGCCAGGTCTGAAGGCAAAGCCTCCAAAGCTCACACTTCACCTCTCCATCTCTTTCTGAAGATACCTGGCCTCAAAACAGCAAACGTGGGGCTCTGGGACTCACCTTCTAGGGGTTTCCCCAGAGGTGATATCATGCAGCTCTGGCGCTCAGCATCGCCCTTACCAGTCATGTACCTTATGGATCCAATGCTGGGCAAAGGGCTGATCACTGTCTCAGCATCTCTGTGCTCCTGCTGGTGGTTGCTGCCCTTCACCAAAGAGCATAGTTTACACCAGGGACTTCAGCAGAAACCTGGGCATGAGAGCACACGCAAAAGCAGTGATTCAGACATCACCTGGAAGCTTATTTTCCTTCCACTAAGTGCCAATAAAATGCTGCTTCCAGACAACAGCTAAAGCCTCTTCCTTTCCATCCCAGAGCATTGCTGCCTTTGTCAGCGGCACTTGTCTCAAGGACATGGGTCATTGCGTAGATGCTAAACTGTGCTTGTGGTGCATTAAAGACTTCATTGATGATTTAACACATCTGTGGAATCAGCACAAACCATGGATGACTTTAACCAATTAAAGGCAATTAATTGATACCTACGAATTAGCTGCTGTAGGCAGTGATTTACAGGGTTAAGATATTAAATGAAACCTAAAGTTTTATAAGGCATTTAAAAATAATCATTAAAAAGCCTTGCTAACGTCAGATGCTTGCAGGAACAAACGGACCTGCCCTGCAGGGAGGTGCTGAGGAGGCCCATCACACAGCAAGATGATGGCTTGGGACTCGGAACATGGGAGCTCCAGGTCTGGAAGGTGTTTCCAAATTGAACATTTACAGCCTGTTTCTCTCTTTCAAAACACAGCCTGTCGTTAGGCCCAACGTGCAAACCATCAGAGGTTGAACTGCTTCATTTTCTGCAGTCTTTTCGTAGAATCATTGGGTTGGAAGGGGGCTTAAAGACCATTTAGTCTCTAATAGAGGAGACTAATAGACTAATAGAGTCTAATAGACTAATAGAGGAGTGTCAAGTAGAAAAGCCAAAAGGACCCTGGCATCCTGCACTGCACAATGTGGGACTCAACCTGATCCCTGTGCAGTGTTTCGGCTGAGACACCAGAACTGCCCTTGAGTGGACACTGTTTTCATGTTCTGGGTTGCTCCTCAAAGGCCCACAGGATGGAGGGTGTTGGCATGCAGCAGCAAAAAGTGCTGTTTCTCTGCAACATGTTAGGGGATGCTACATCTTATAGCTCCTGGAGGGAAGATGCCCTGCTAGGGAGGGACAGAGCTCTCTACCCTTCATACTGCACTCCAGAAGGTGGTGGTGCTTTGACCTGGCATCCAGAGGTTCTGCTGCCCATGGGGACATTGAGACCATGCTGCAGTGCTGCAGGACACCAGTGCACTGCAGATCAGATCTCCACAACAATCTGGCACTGTGAGGTTGTTGGCACCCTGCACGACCCTCCAAGAGCTGCTGCCAGGGGTCCTTCACTCCGCAGCTCAGCATGGCCAGCCCCTGTAAGTCTGAACTCATCCACTTGAGTGCCTTTTCGGTACTTAAAAGGGGTCTATGAGAAAGATGGGGAGAGAGTTCCTAGCAGGGTCTGTTGCAACAGGATGAGGGGGTGTGGTTTTAAACTGAAAGAGGGGAGATTCAGGCTGGGTGTGAGGGTCAAATCCTTTACAGTGAGAGGGGCACGGGTTGTGCAGGGAGTGACGGATGCCCCATCCCTGGAGACATCCCAGGCCAGGCTGGTTGTGCTTCCGAGCGACCTGCTCTGGTTGAAGATGTCCCTGCTCATTGCGGGGGTTGTTATGGATTAGGTGAGCTTTAAGGTCCCTTCCGCCCCGAACCGCTCTATGGTCCTATAGCGAAGGGCTCCTGGGCCGTGCCCGAGCGGAGCCCCGCGGGCTGGGCGCTGACTCAGCTCCGCTGGCACGGCTGTGCCACCGGGGCAGGTTTCGGCCCCGGCGCAGCGGGAGCCGGGCTGGCGGGGCTCCAGCGCGCTGCCGGGACAGGCATCGCTGTGGGAAGCAGGGAGTGTCTCCGTACCCCCACCCTTGGGCGCTGCCGGCCCCGCAGGGACAGGCAGAGCGGCTGCGGGGCCGCGGAGCAGCACCGGGCACCGGCAATGCCGGGGAGGTGTTGAGGATGGGAGCCTGGGATATGGTGAGGGGGGGGGTCCCAGCCGGACGCTGCTTTGTGCCCTGAGCGCTCCGCTCCCCCCGGACCTTAGATCCAAGCTGAACTCCCCCTGTTCCAGTTCGGCCCCATCACTCCTTGTCCTGTCGCTACGGTCCCTGATGAAGAGCCCTTCTCCAGCATCCTTGTAGCCCCCTTCAGACACTGAGGGTCTCCACGCAGCCTTCTCTTCTCCAGCCCAAATGTTCGCAGCCTGTCTCTGTACAGGAGGTGCTCCAGCCCCTGCTGATGCTTGTGGTCCTCCCTCATCCCATTAAGGCATCAAGTTCACCCCTCCCCACCTCGTTTTTGAGGCCTGTTTGCCCTCCTCTTGCTGCCTTACCAAAGCTGAGGCTTCCCAGAGGCTTGTTCCCCAAAACCTGATGGCATGTGTTGAAGCAGGCAAAACAAGTCATCATCCAACCCGCAGCACAAGGGAGAAACCTGAAGGATGCTCACACCTCACCGGGCCTGGGATGGAGAGGACAGGCAGCCCCAGCAAGAGGAGAGACAAAACGTCTTGCCAAGGGACAAGAAGCCTTTAAAGATCAACCATCCTCTGCACCTATTCCTTCCCCTCTGCTCTGGAAACACTTCACAGATGAGGTTTAACAACTGCGTGGGACAGCTTGCCCCAGGAAATGGTCATGAAGCCCAGATCCATGCAGCAGGAACTCAGGATTATGCAGCTGATGTGCCACCATGGGCATTGCATGTGGAAGCATGCTACAGAGGTGCCTACAGCTAGATGAAAGAGATCTGCACACCTGAAAGGACAGATGAATGGCCTCCCCACACTGATTTTTTCTCAAACCTTCGTTGCATGCTGTCAGAACCACGCAGAGGAGGCAAACACAGCTGGTCTGGGTCCTTTAGGACAAGGTGGAAATATGAGTTATAATGACCTGGAAGCTGGCTTTGTTTAATCCATGCACCAATAGGCTTGGAAGCAGTCCCACAGGGCCAGCCCTGACTCAGAGCCGAGCAAGGGGGGGCGGTCTGGTACAGCAAAAGCAGGAGCTAAAGGGGCCATAACGAGGATTGCGGCAGGAAGAGCAGTCAGACCAGCAAGGTCTGTTCCAAAACCTCCCAAGCACCGCAGGTGTGAGATGCTGTGAGGCAAGGGGATGGTATTCAGGAGGTCCTGAAGGGCTGCTGCATCCTCCTGCACCCCAGGGAGCTGAGTGTGCTCAGCCGAGCTCTGCCCTGCGCCTGCTTCCTCTGGGCTTAGGGCTCCAGGATGGAGACAAGACCCTGACCCTGTCCCCGTTCTCTTTATTTACAGACACAACATCAGCGGGGGGTGTGGAGGTGGGAAACGGAGCCTTGTGAAGCATCTGCCCGTGCAGGCAGCACTGTGCCTGCAGCCAGGCCCACCAAGCCCTGTGCAGGCAGAGGGTGTGCGGTGCTGGCTCCAAGAGGGGGGGGAAGGCAGATGGTGGACCCAAGGGCCGCACACCTCCCCGTGGCCGAGCCGCCTTTGCCTCCCGAGCATCTATTTCCACCGGCCGCCTACCATGGTCTTCCCACGGGCAGCCTTTGACCTGGGAGGGAAGCGGAAAAGCACATGTAAAATGGCATTAGTGACCGTGAAAGGAGGGACGAGTCATCTCCAGTTGATGCTCACTGGGGGGAAGAAGGTCTTCAGTGGCCCCAGGTAAAACCTTGGAACCTGAGTCAGTGCATCCATGTGGTTTGGGGTTCTATGGAAGAAGCTCATGCAGTTTGCCAGGTGTCTCTAAGGACCCCCAATTCCCTTCCCATATTTCTCCCTCCCCAGGATCCTTCAGAAAGGAATCCACAAGTTGGATCTCTGGTGGCAGAGGGACAAAAGGGGCTGCAGGATCCGTCTCTCAAGAACCAGAAGCTGTGGTGATGCTCCTCAGGACACACCACATCAACCTCCTTAACCAGGATCAGGGGAACAGACACTGCTGGGGGCACAGATCAGCTGAGAGGAGGAGGAAGAGGAGGAGGAAGCTCAGGTGGACAGTGAAGGGCATTACTGGCATGTCATCCTGAGGCTCACCAGAGCAGCTTTGCCTGCCAATCCTTGGCATTGCCTCCTCCCTCAGCCCTACCGCTAGCCCCAGTGTCCATGCAGCACACATGCACAGGGAGACACACAGCACTGGGGAAGCAGCTGTACTCACCCTTTGCTGCAGTAACAGGCCGTGATGGGGCAGAAGAGAAGAGAGATTTGGTGTAAGCACGTGGGAGATGCTGCTGCCTGGCACACGGGGCAGGCTGAGCACCTCTCATGTGAGGCGACAGAGCAGGGTGCTCCCAAGGGTGGGAGTTAAACACCCACCTCTGCCCTAATACAAAGGGTCCCCTTGTCCTGTGCAGGGAACATGGGCACGGGGACAGGCTCTCCTGCACAGCTCCCACAGCCCATGGGGATTTCCCTTCCTACACAAGCTGGAATCTCCAGCACCCTCCCTGAGATGCTGGGCAGAGCCACTGCAGGGATGGGGGCTGCTGGAGGCTGGTAGGACCCCCCAGGACACAAGGCTTCATATGTAGAGGTGGGGTCTCCCCAGGGTCCGTCCCTATCCAGGGTGTCTGGGGCAGGGGGAAGCTTGGTGGAGGTGGGAGGCAATGGTTTGGGTCTGTCAATAGCAGCAGAGCAGCATCGATGCTGGGCCAGGCCTGCAGGTCCATGAGCACTGGGTACCAGTGGGACCAAAGGCAGGAGTGGAGAGGACAGGAGGTGGCTCTGTGAGAGTACCAGAGGGGCAGGAGGTACACGGGGAGGGAAGTGGAGCCAGGGGAGCGGGGGGCTGGAAAGGCAGGAGGAGGGATGCTCAGCCTGCCCGGGACTTACACTTTCTGGTGGTCACTGACACGGTTTCGGAGGACGTTGATCTGCAAGAGAAACGCAGGCGGGTGCTGAGGCCGGGCAGGATGCCCTGCACCCAGCCAGGGATGGGGGAGAGGGTGAGGATGCAGATTCATCACTGCTCTCCCTCCCCTTGCATGGGTGCAGGGCTGTGATGTGCAGCACAGCAGGAAGCCCATTGGGGTGCAAAGGACGTGCCCCCAGGAGCTGGGGGGTCACAGGGCCACCACGTAGCCCCTTGCACTGCCTGCCACGTCCTCCAGCATTTCATAGCTGTGTGCTCAGCTTTGCCAGGGTTGGTTTGACCCTGGCTCACAGAAACCCAGCCTGGTTTGTGCTGGAGGAGACCTTAAAGCTCCTCCAGTTCCAAGCCCTGCCACAGGCAGGGACCCCTTCCACTGGAGCAGCTTGCTCCAAGCCCCTGTGTCCAACCTGGCCTTGAACACTGCCAGGGATGGGGCAGCCACAGCTTCTCTGGGCACCCTGTGCCAGCGCCTCAGCACCCTCACAGGGAAGAGCTTCTGCCTTACATCCAAGCTGAACTTGCCCTGTTTCAGTTTGAACCCATCCCCCCTTGTCCTATCACTACAGTCCCTGATGAAGAGCCCCACTCTGGCATCCTTGTAGCCCCCTTCAGACACTGGAAGCTGCTCTGAGGTCTCCACGCAGCTTCTCTTCTCCAGCCTGAACAGCCCCAATGTTCTCATCCTGTCTCCATACAGGAGGTGCTCCAGCCCCTGAGCATCCTCGTGGCCTCCTCTGCACTTGCTCCAACAGCTCCATTGAGGTTTTTGTCCTCAACAGGTCCATCAAGGACAAAATCTCCATAAAGGAGGAGGTTGTGGCTTTGCTCTCAGTGCAGAGCCTGTTGGGTGTCTGTCACCCCATGCACGCGGGGGGCACAGTCCTTTCCTGAGGCAGGCAGCTTCCCTGTGACAGCAGGGTCAGTCAGACAGGCCCCCCTCCCCATGGCCTGACGGGGAGCAGGAGCAGCAGCCGGGCACATGGGGCTGCCTGAGCTCACCTCGTATTTCTGCCGCTTGAACTTCTCCTGCAGGTCAAACTTCTCCGCCTCCAGGTCACGGATGCTTTGCCACAGCTCCTTGGCCTTGTCCCTGTGGGAAGGGGTCAGTGCAGGACAGGGACGTGGCTCACTGCAGGGGACAGGGCAGTGATGCCACCGCCGCGCAGGTGGGGATGTGTTACCCATGCGGCAACGCCAGTCCCACGCATGGACCAGAGCCGTGGGGGAGGTTGGGACAGACGGGGACATGCATGTCCCATGCGTGTGAGCACGGCTCCCTCTGATGGATACGGCTGTCAGCGGCAGCCTGGCAGGGCCACACAGCCCCTGTCCCCGCTGCGGTGTCACAGCCCATCACCCTCTCGTCGGGGCTGCAGCCCCAGCGCAGGATCCTGCCGCAGAGCAGAGCTCCTGTCCTGGACAGCCGGTGCTCACCTCAGCTTGTCCTCATTGAGGTGATCGATGTTCAGAGGCTTCCGCCGTTCGCTGAGGATCTTCTTCTTCTTTTCCCTCTCCGTTTGCTTCTTCCCCCCCTTTTTCTCTGACTGAGGAAACCATCAGCCCATTGGAGGTAAGGAAATCTGCCCAGCCTTTGCTCTATCCCCATCCCCAGCTCTGCCCCAACACCCTCAGCTTTGGGGACGCCGGAAGCACATGAGGTCCTTGAGGTCCTTAAGGAAATCTTGGCCAAGACACCCCCCACCCCTGTTCCTGTCCACGAGGTGAGGCTGGACCCTGACCAGCATCTTCAAAGCAGAGCTCTCAGCTCACTTTGCCCCTCTCACTGCTGCTGTGAGCCAAGAGCAGCGCTGTGAGGCCAGCCCATGGCTGAGCCCTTCCCAGGAGCACCAGCACCTGCATTGCAACCACCCAAGGTAGGATCCCACCTTCTGCATGTAGCCTCCAAAATGCAGCATGTTGGAGAAAGCCTTCTTCTTCCGCGCTTCCTCCTCAGCCTTCTTCCGTGCCTCCTCTTCCTCCTTGCGAGCTCGCTCTTCCTGCCAGCGTCAGAAGTGGGTCAGGACAGAGACCTCATGGGCAGCTCACGCTCCCGTGTGCTCCGTGGCCAGGCTGGAGCATCCCGAGCCCCATCCCTGGGGGGCACACTCACGGCCATGCGGGCTTGTCGCTCCTTCTCCCTCTCGCTGCGGATCCGCTGCTGCTCAGCCCTCTCCGCTCGCCGCTTTTCCTGCGGAAGGAGAGGACATTGGCTCGGACACTGCATCCTCGCTGTCCACAGGGACACATCGCTGACCCCTCTGAGAGCCCCAAGGGAAGAGCTGCTGCTCTCACGTCTCCCAAGAGAGCATGCGGAGCGGTGACCATGGGGAAAGGCACCGCAGCATCACAGCAGCCAGGCCAAGAGCTCTGCAGGCACTGGGGGACAAAATCAGGCTCAGATCTCAGGCTTTGTCTAGCAGGGACATGGGATGTGTCAGGTCTTTCTGCCAGGGCCACGGGGGAAAGGATCACGGCTGGGGGAAGGCTGCATACATACAATCCTGTCCTTGAGGGACATGAGCTCCTCTTCCTCCTTCTTCCTGCTCTCAAAGTGGGCTTCAATGAGAGCCTGCAGTTCGTTCAGGTCCTTCTCCATGCGCTTGCGGTGGATGTCCTGCAGCAGACAGAAGCAGCAGTGGTGGCTCCCACCAGTGAAGCCCTCCAGGAGCTGCTGGGTACCTCGCAGGGGGGACATCCTATGCGCTACTTACATCAAAATCCAGTCTCTCGCCATCTGGGATTTTGGGAGGCACCAGGTTTGGCATAAAGACCCTGCAGGAAGGTGAGGAGGGGAAGGGTGAGTCTGCAGCCAGCGCCTGGGACAGGATGGTGCCTTTCAGCCAGGCGCTGATCTACCCAGCCCTCCTCTCTGAACCTCACAGTCCCCAGGGATGCAGAGCACACTTTGAGGACAGGGAGGTGCAATCCTCCTTGCTGGCCATCGCCAGCTGGACAGCTTCAGAGGGAGACCTGTGGCATTCCCGGGAAGCACTCCAAGGCACCCGCGTGGCTGGAATAACTCTGCAAGCTGCAGGCAACTTGGCCATGACCCTTTGCCAGGCACCCTGGGGCTGGCAGACACCCCAGTGCTCATCACCCAGCAGAGCACAGAGGAACTGTGGGCTCCGGTGTGATCTGGCACAGGGAGCTGGAAACCACGCTCTCATCCTCTGTGGGCTTGAGAGGGGCAAGGGATGCTCAATAGGGGCACATAAAGATGAAGGGGCTGTGGCTGAGGACAGAGCTGCCTCCCATAGTGCAGCATTGCAGGGTCCAGGGGGAGCTGCAGGCTCCTGGCAATGGTTCGCAGCTCCTGCCTCAAGCCATCCATGGCCAGGCACACACTGCAGAAGCACAACCCTGGCTCTGCCGTGGACCATACCCCAGGATGGGGTGCACACAGGGTTCTTCCAGCTGCAGGGCCAAAGGGCAGCTGAGCTTCCCCAAGGAACACTCAAAATGCTTCAAAACCTCCAAAAGAGCTCATCCTCAGGATCCCCTTCCTATTCTGTGTCTGTCCGCCTGTTTCTCTCCTTTTTCTCTCCATGTCCCAGTCCCATCCTGCTTTCCTGCTTTCAGGCCTCAATGTCCCATGCCCTCTATGGATCATGGTGCTAAGCCCATCACACAGAGCCTCTGCCCTGGCACAGCTCCTCTTGACATTGACACTTACTTGGGTTTTGGCTTCGATTCACCTTCAGGTCCCCAGGAACAGGAGAGAAAGACAATGTCAGTGTCACAGAGGCAACCTTGACCCACACCCCACCACACTGAGCCGAACCACCCTTCTCTCCCATGGATCCTCCTCCAGCAAAGAGGCACGCAATGAGCTCTGTGCCAGACCCAGAGGCACACGCTGGAGCTCCTGGCTAAGCAGAAAGGTTGTTTGGAACCTCCTTATACAGGTGAAGGGACAGAGCCTCCCGCCCCAGAGAGCAACAAGGATGGATACTTCACCTTCCCCAGGCTCCTGCTCTCGGTCCCCCTCTCCACCTGTGGAAAACGTGATGCTTTGGCTGCCAGAGGCCAGCACCAGGGACACAGTGGGGTGGTTCCATCAGGCTGTTCCCCTCTGCTAAACCCAGCTCCATCCTTCCAGAATGAAGGGGGAGAAACCCATTCCCTCATGAGCATCCCTAACGCACGGACAGACTGGGAGATATTCCTCTCCAAGAGGAACCCAGAGGTGCAAGTAATGCTACCTTCTCCTTCCGGATTTTGGGTGAATTCCTTACCTAGGCAGCACAAAGCCATCCCTCCTGCAAGCACCCTGCTTCCACAGCCCTGGCACAGGATGGGGCCAGGGCATCCCTCCACCATTTACCACTGATTCTCTATCTCCAGCAGCAAATGAATTCAACACCAAAACCCTGTTACAAGGGCCCAGAGTCTTGGGGGACTGGGATCAGGACCAAAATAGCTGAAACTGTCTCTCCTCTGCCTCTGCTTTACCTTCTCCTGGTGCTTTCGTTTCATCTTCTTGTTCTGTTTCGAAAGCAATGGGGAGAATATGAGCACCCATGGGTGAGGACAGCCCCAACACCCCAACAGAGGGGTCCCAGCACCCCAGCTCAGGGAGCACATCTGGGATCTGAGCCTGTCCCACCAGCCACAATAACACGGGGCACACATCAGGCCACTCCATCTGCTTCAAAGAGGTCTCATGAAGTCGAGTGTCTTTCAGTGGTGAAACACACCAGAGCATGACCCCAGCTCTGGGCTCCCTATGGGATCTCCTGGTGGAAGAGGCTCAGCTAATTTTTGGCACTGTTTTGGAGAGCTGGACACCAACCAGCAGAAAACACCCTTATCTTTCTGCTTGCAGAGCCGTTGCAGTCAGTACATCAGGAAGGGCCAGCTCAGGTTTGACATCTCACTGGGAACCGCAGGTACAGAGGGGGAGCTGCCCTTTGTGCTACTGACCATGCTGGGACACCCCAGACTTGCTTGGTACCCCAAAGCCAGGCCGTGGGAGCTCGCTGGCGAAGCCGCCACTCACCTTCTGCCTTGGTTTCTTCAGTCTCCTCCTCCGCTTCCTCTACCTGTTCTTCCTGCCCTGTGGAATAGCAGGCAGCGTGAGCCCGAGGGCCACGGCTCCCCTGGCTCCCTACAGACCCCCAGGACACCCGCAGCGTGGAGCCAGATGAGAGAGACCCAGCAGAGATGCAGCCACAGGAGAAAGAAGCAAAGAGCTTCGCTCGAGCCCTTCCCCAAGGCTCCGTGCTTGTGCACATCAGCGGATCCATGGCCCCTCCCGGTTTGTCCCTCATTCTCTCCTATGCTCATCATGCTCTTACAGCCCAGCCTGGGAGGAAGATGATTTCTATTGCTCCCCTCTAGCCCCAGCGAGGAACAAGGGCGGCTGGCATCACAGAACGTGCCTTCGGCACCTTCGCAACCGTATTTATGACACTGCGCGAGCATTTTTCCACTGGAGGGAGCAGTATCCCCACAAGAGTCCTCCATTGGAGGCAGAGCAAGGCTGGAGCCCAAGGTCCTGGGAAGACTTGTGTTCGCCCAGCAAGAGAGAAGGAAAGGAAGAGAAAGCAGCAAACCAGGAGTACATTGGTTGGTGTAAGAGAGGAGCCACAGACGCAGGAGCAGACACACAGAGCACAGCAGGGCAGGGAGGGGGGAGTGCAAGAACTGAAAGATAGAAGTGGAAGAATGAAAGAAAACCATTTCCCAACCAGGGAGAGGCAAAAGACACACCGACATATTCATAGCAGCAGTGCAGAGATGAAATAAAGAAAGGTGCAATAGCTACCGTCTTCTTCCTCTATCCATTCTTCCTCTTCTGAGCCAGGAAGGAGGGAAAGGAATAAGTGCAGAGGTTAGTTGGACGCCGCGAAGCTGCGGAGTGTATCTATGGTGTGCGTGAGATGAGCACTCCAGCACTGCAGGGCTTTCCCCTTTGCATGTCCCTTTGCTTTTAATGCCAGGGATGCTTTGCTGTGCAGCAGCCCGGGCTTCCTGGCAGTGCCCTGAAGCAGCAAGAGGCTCAGCAAAACCCAGCTCCCAAACGCAGCCCAGATGTGCCCCAGCGTATCTGCATGCACCATGGGCTTTGCTGCTTCGTCAGGCTGAGGCACTTGGAGCTTTGTGCTTGAGCATCATTAGCATACATTCAGCTGAGGCTCCAGCTCCCGTTGAGTTATTGGGCTCACACCTCTGCCTGCCCTGAGCCCGACATTCCCACCCCTGCTTTGAGTTAAGGGATCACTCAGACAAAACATCCCGATTAAAACTCAGGCTGGTTTTGATCCTACTGATGTTTAGGTGGAGAAATCCAGAGCATGGTCTCCTTTGCCATGAGTTACCCATCACTAGGGGGTTGTGGAGTCTCCCTCTCTGGAGATATTCCAAACCCACCTGGGCACGTTCCTGTGTAACCCGCTCTCAGTGGCCCTGCCTTGGACTGGATGAGCTCCAGACGTCCCTTCCAACCCTAAATAGCTTCCAATCAAGGAACTTACCACCAGAACCCACCCGAGCAAAACACTGACCCAACAGCACTTGTCTCTTGGTTCTCAGAACCACCGATGAGACACCTACCTTCTTCCACGTACTCCTCTTCAGAGAGCACGAGTGCACACAGGAAAGAGGGAAGGGAAAGAGATGCAGGTTATTGGAGTTGCTTGGATCATTTCTTTGCTTCAGCCTCAGGGCAGCTGCAGATGGTCCACATCCTCTTACCTTCCTGCTCCCTGCAAAGCACAGTATGGATTTGTGGGGTTACAACGGGGCACGTGTGTCCATCAGTCCATTCAAAGGGCTCAACTGACACTTCAGCAGTGGTCAGGGCACAGCACCATTTTGCAGCCTGAGAAGATCAAGTGACCGTGGCCTCTCATCCTAGAAATGGGTATCCTACATCCCAGCTTTGCCTCAAAGTCCTTTCCTGACCCTGGGGGAGATGCATGGTCTGTCCTTGGACAGACAGGGCTCGGACTGGTTGCCAGGACATGCAGGTCTGTCATGGCATTAAAACGTAAGAAGGATTCAGATCTACTTTTTCTGCTGGTGGATGAGGAATGGGAGCTGTGTTTGGACTGATCCCTATAACCATGTACTGCAGATACTGAGCCCCTTCTCTCCAGGGTGCACTTCACGACCCAGCAGCCCTCACCAGCAAAAGTTGCCTTCAAATTTAGGCCCTGGGGAGCAATGCTCTGGATGTGGCAGCAAAAACCCCATCAGCTTTTCCCAGCTCTCTCTCACTGATTCAGGTTGCAGCATTTCCAATGTCAGGGCTGCCCCTCGTGTGCTGGTACAGCTCCCAACACAAGACTCCCCACTGCTGGGGGTCTCAGCAGTGGTGCAGGTGGGCATGGGGTGAGGAGAGTTTATGCTGGATGCTGGAGGCAAATGGCACCTCTAAACAATACCATGACCCTGTGGGGAAGTGGGAATAAGGAGAAAGAGAAGCTGCTTAAAGCCACATCACTTACTGGTCATGTTCTTCGATGACCTCCTCAGAGTCTGACATGCCTGGTTATCTGGCAGAATTCAAGGCAGATTGGAAAAGGAGAGGGTTAGGAGCGGAGATAAGGACCAGCACAGCCTGTCCTCCAGCACCCGGGACACAGGCACAGAGATGCTGCGCCTCGCCAAAGCACTGGGAGCCCTGAGCTGTCCCCAGCTCTGACAGCATTATCTCAACAGAGATAAGGTTCCCCCTCCCCTCCTCTCCCAGGATCGCTGCTCGCCCCAAATAGCAGGCAGGAGATCAGACACAGCCTCATGCAACACTGATAACTGCTGTCAGGAGCCATGTCCAGCTGCCTCAGGGTGCTGCGTTTGCTCAGGGCACAGGAGAAGAGCCCAATTACAACGCTCAGCTCGTCTGGCTTCCTGACTATTCTTAGCTCGGTTGGGACACAGAAACTTTGCAGGGACATCCCGTTATCTCAGATGTACAGCCCTGCACAGGCCACAGCACAAGAGCTCGATGACACTTCCCAGCCCAGCCCTCCAAGAGCAGAGTGTGCCCCGCAAAGGGATGATCTGGGCTCAGCCGGGGTGTTTCTCTCCTGGTCCTGAGACTGAGCTCAGCTAAGAGGGGTAATTCACAGCCTGCTTCAGCAATAGGGGTAGGTGCTCATTCCCCACTCGTGATCAGGAGGATGCCACTCATTGTCCCACCTCATCTAGCTTCTACTCAGTGCTCCACCACGAGGTCTACACAGACCAATGCCATTATCAGCCCCAGCCCTGCACATCCCAGAGCAGCACTGGGCATCCCAGAGCAGCCCTGCACATCCCAGAGCAGAGCTGGGCATCCCAGAGCAGAGCTGGGCATCCCAGAGCAGCGCTGGGCATCCCAGAGAAGCGCTGGGCATCCCAGAGAAGCGCTGGGCACCAACCCAGGCCCCTGCACAGCCTGTCCATTGCTCAAGCTTGTGCCAGACCTCGGCCCAGCCACGATGCAGCTCTAGAAATAACTCGCATGTGCCAAAGCACCTGTTCCCAGAGCAGCGCCGCTTCCCTTCTCCTGCTGGGAACAACTGGTCCTGCTGCATCTGTCGAGCATTTATAACCCGGGATGGGTAGGACAGGCTGCGGGGTCGCCTGGTCGAGATGCTGAATCCAGGGCTGGAATCCACAAGCACGGGAAAGCTGCGCTGCAGGAGGGGTGCCTCCGCATACCCAGGGGTGGTCAAATCTCACTTCTGAGCAATGACTCAGAAGGTGCTTTTTGGAGACAAATGAAGTCAGAACTCAGCCCCGGCTGCCCCAGCTCCATCGCCTGCTTCTGCCATCCTTGTTCCTGCTGATGGCTCTAGGGCTTGGCCCCAAGAACCACTTTCAGCACCATCCCTTCAACTCCTCTCCCCCTCAAACATCAGTTCCTGGCCCTGCTTGTCCCCCAGGCTCAGCATGGTCCTGCTATCCTGAGCTTGGCCAAATAATTCATGTGGCCTCTGAGCTGCCAGGACTTCTCACGACCCAAGAGCAGAGACTCCATCCCAGCCATGACAGTGCAAACATCCATTTGCAAAAGCTCATTTCTACATCTCCATTCACCTCCTCCCTCATACATCGCTCGATCCCACAGAGAATTTGCTGAGGAACAGCAACAAAACCTTAAAGGGTACACAAAAAAGATGTTTCTAGGAAATACGTATCCATCCTCTGCACAGAAACAGGTAAACCTTTCCATTGAAGCTGTGCAATCTTGTTTTCCCAGCATTTACTCCAGTGTGGCTCACATCTCTGCTCCCTTCCTGCTTGGTAGGGTCAGACCATACACAGGAGCATCCCAGCTCTAACACACCCTATGGGCTGCCAGTGAGCCACGGCCAGGCTGGCCCAGCTCTCACATGGGCATCGCATCCCTCCTGTCCCCTCCAGAGACACAGTTAACAGGGATGTGTGGGATCCGCTGGAACCAGAGCAGCCAAAATCCTTCTCGAGCCACCTGGGGTGGTTTAAAGGGCATTGGGCAAGTTGCAAACACAGCCCCCTGGAGAAGGTCCGGATGCTTGATCCATGCGAATGCCTTCATGGCAAAAATACCTCCTGGCTGGGGAGGACCATTCCCCCTGAGCCAAATCACTCCTGCCCTTCCACTGAGCATCCGATGCCCCACGCAGGCAGCCCCCCCGCAGCCTTACCTCTGCCGTGGGGCGCCAGTGAGATCCCAGGGAGCTGGCGGGCGTCTGGGAAATGCTCTTTGGGGGCAGGAGGCTTTAAGGGGGCTCCAGCGCCCACCCCGGGGCGGGCAGCGCCGGCAGGAATGCGCCCGGCGCCCAGGGAGGAATGCAACACTTGTGAGCTGCTATTTCAGCCCCAGCCCCCTCCGCCGCTCCCCCTTCCCCCCCAGGAGCCCATATAAGCCCAAGCTATTGTGTGGCCTCAGAGATTTGCTATTTTAAACCCTCCGGACCGAGATACGCGAGTGCCCGAGGGGCTGACACAAGCCAGGCAGCTGTCACGTTCTGATAAGGCAGCGAGTGCAGGACCAGACCCTCCATCGCAGCCCCCAGCCCTGCACTGAGCCCAAGAGGCTGTAAGAGAAGAGGCTGAGGCTCAGGCTGGTTTTACCATGTGTATCTCAGGTCTTCGCCTTCTTTCCCCTTATCAGAAGAGAAGCAAAGCTGTTCCCATCCCATCCCCGAAGCAGGTGGCCAGGAGCATCTTAGAAAGGGCAACTTTTATTAGGAAAACAAAAAAGGCGCAGAGAGAACCAAGTCCTTTCCAAAGCCCAACAAGCAGGATGAGGTCTAGGGGCAGCAATAAAGGCCCACACCGCATTTGGATACTGCAATGGTTGCTCAACACACAGCCCTTGCCTACTGAATGGCCCCAGCAAAAGGATTTCAGCATCATTTTATGGGCCAGCACCCTAAAGCCATACTGATTACCCTGCATCCCTGCTGGGTGGGCTCAGAAGCCCAAGGGGTGCAGGACACGGGTCACAACAGCCACAGGCAATGGGCTCAGGAAGAAAGGCAAGAGGGAAATAGGGTTTGGGGAAGGGGCCCAGCACAGGGCATTCAGCTCCATGCAACCCCCAAAATAGGACCACGGTCCATGCCCCCTTCCTTCCCATGTATTTAAGTGAAAGGGGTCACTGCACCAGTGGCATCGGGTCCACCCTTCTTCCACAAAGCATCACTCAATACACGTGTGACGTTGCAAGCTTGGGTCGCTCCAGCAGCGACAGCCTGGGGAAGGGTTGACACCTGCCTGCCCCACATCACCCCACACGAGCCAGGCAGCAGGGATGGGCATAGTCCATGGATGTGCAGCTGAAACTCCCTTGCCCAGGCAGCTTCTTGCCCCACCGACATCATCCAGCTGCCAGGGCGATGCAGAGGTTGATCCTCTTTGCAAGCACAGTTATGGGGCACAGGCAGAGGTTAGGAGCAAAACACCAAAACGCTGAGGGAAAACAAGGCAAGAATCTGCCTCCAGCATCTGCAAGGAGCTTCCAGGCCTAGGCACTCTGGGACAGGCAGCAAGTGAGGTCTGGGTGAGCAGGGATAAGCTTCCAGCCTTCTTCCTTCCTCAAGCAGAGGACCCCGGCGATGTGGGGTGCCCTACATGTGGCACGGGGAACACTCACGGCAGTGGGCTGCTGGGCAGGGCTGGGCTTTGATCCTTGGAGCAAAACGGTTTTTCCCCAGATCCTTTGCTATTATCACAAATGAGATTATTGCAACTGGAAAAAGAAAGTGAGAAACAGTGAGGGCAGGCCTGGGGCTGCAAACCCCCAAAAGCAGCTAACTGCAACCAGGACCATACTTGTGCCAAACAGGGAATGGGGCAGGCAGGCACCCCCTAAATCCCACCGCATGCCACTTTTCCCTTCTTCTCCCAGACCAGACTCCTCCTCACCATTAGAGCTGCCTCCAGTCGTCCCCTCCTGCCAACTCCCCCAAGCCATGAGGTCCTGGATGCCCCACACAATCCCTCCATCCCCCATAGCCTGGGTTTCTCACATCTGCCCTATGGGCGATGTGCCCTTGGTGCCGGCTCTGCCCACGGCTCAGAGGATGCACCCTCTTTCTGTCTACCTTGGTGTCTGCAGAGGCGTCTCCAGGCTGCTTTACCCAGGTGGGCAGGCTGTTTATTTTCCTGATGTCCTGCAAACAGAGGTGGCACAGGAAGGTTTTCCCTGTGCATCACGCCTTGCCTCGGCCTGATCTGAACCAGCCCTTGAAACACACACGCCTCAGGTAAAACCAGACGCCTTTGAGACCCTGCCCCGGGCAGCCCCTCCAAACCAAGCACAGCTCCAGCACCGATAGGAAAAGCTGATGAAGGAGCTTCAGGCTTTGATCCAGGAGTGACCCGGGAGCAAACCCTCCCCTGGCAGACACGAGCCAGCGCAGACACGTCTGGGCAGCACTAATCTCTGCAGCTCAGTGCTGCGGGTGCCCGGGCTTGTCTGCCCCGGCTGCAGGGCTGGGCTGGAGCTGCCCCTCCTGGGCCCGTACCCAGGGAGCTGCGGGAGACTCTGCTGTGTTATTGCTGCAGACGGTGGTACCCCCACAAGGACTCGCTGAGCGTCTCCTTTCCAAGCACAGGAAACAACCCCTGAGGCCAAAGGGTTTCCTGTCCATCCCCTAGAGCACCCGCAGTGGCAGAGTGATGACCCCCGAGTCCCCTTTAGAGGGGGACTTTGCCCCCACAGCTCCAAGACACCCGACTTTGGGATACGTGCAGGGATGCAGATCACTGCAGACCCCGCATGCAGCAGGACCTCTGAGTGCACACACAGATCTCTAAACCCCACAGAGCCTCAGTTCATCAGCCCATAAGCTCCAACACCCCAGATGCAGGGACATGTCCTGCCGGGCTGCCTGGGCTCTGGGCTCTTGCCCAAGGTGTCGGCACACGCCGGTACCTTGCTCTTCTCCTCCTTGGCAGGCTCCTGAGCTCGGCTGATCCACAGATTAATGCGGGACGTCACTGACCCTGGGATCTTCAGGTTGTCCTGTGGCACAGAGAAGGACCCCAGGATTACAGCGCCAGCTCCCTCATGGCACAGGGAGACAGCGAACCTGCGGCGGGCAGCGATCAGCCCCCACCTTGGCTCCCTCCCAGCTCCTCAAACACCAGCGCCATCGGCACAGACCCGCACAGCCCCACAGCACCCTCTGGGTGGCAGCCGGGGTCCGAGCGCAGCCCTGCCCCTCTCAAGCCGCCCCGCAGACGGGAAGATGCTCCCGAGAAGCACAGGGCGATGCCGGGGGCTCCTGCGTTACCTTCCTGGCAGCGAGAGGCTCAGCCTTGCCCGGAGCGCTCGCCTCGAAGAAGTTGCGCTTGCTCGCCACCCCGTCCGAGGGCAGCAGGAGGCTCTTCTGAACGGGCAGGGATGATTTCACCGCCTCCGAGCGCTGCGAGGAGAGAGCGGGCTCAGCGGCGGGCACGGCTGCACCACGCGTGGTAAAGAGCAAAATCCTGCTTCTGGGTCGCATCCCGAGCCCATCGGGGTCTGCTCCCTCCATGCCCATCCAAGCTCACGGGCTTGCCCCAGTGCTCCCCACAGCAGGGCCCTGCAGCATCCCCATGACCCTCTCTAGTGGAGATCCGCTCCCAGCTCCTAAAATCCTGAGGCTCATCCCTTTTTCTGCCTGGGACCATCTTCTTTAACCCCATTAGCGTGTGTTTGATGCAGCCCAGTCCCTCTCTCCCTTCCCCATTCAGCTCCAGGCCATGCCTCTTCCTCTCCCCACACATCCCTCCCATGCCGAGGGATTTCAGCACCTGCACGGCCGAGTTGTACTTTTCCAGCTTCTCCCCAATGGTGGTGCTGCTCCCTGGGATCCTCATACTTGCGCTGGTGAAGAAGAGGGAAAACAGTTGGATGCAGCCCCCTCAGGATCACCTGGAACTCAGCCCATGGTCCCTGGGGACTCCACTTGGCAGGAGAAGACCCTGTCTGACTCAGGCACTCCTGCATCCATCTGCCAAGTGAATGGCAGCTCATTCCCTGCTGATGACCAAGATCTCCAAGTCTCACCGTCTTACTGGGACCACTCTGTACACTGAAAAACAGCTCTGAGCTCCTCCAGTTTACCCTGTCTTCACCACTGCCAGATCTGAACTTCATCTTCACCAGTACCAGGATGAGTTTGCCTGCAGTGTGCACAGTTACAAGCCCAAGTGCTGTAAAACCCCACTCCCCTACCCTGCATTCAGAGGTGGGATGGCATCCCATTGACTCCCTGCATTCACACCTGGTCCTTTGTTCCTCCAGGGTTTTTAAGCCACCTGGCCAAAGCTTGCCATGGAGATGTGGCCACCAAAGCCAGATCAGGGTGCTCATAGACCTGTACTGTTGGTTTTGACATCTCCAAGGATGGGACCCTGTTGTGGTGCTGCACCAGTCCACACTTAAGCACTGCTGTGCAGACACAAGCGCTGATGAGAAGCCACCTGAACCAAGAAGCAGCAAGGGGTAGCTGGGGGGGTCTTGTACACATACAAGCTGTACTTTGGACATCAGCCAGGCTCCCTGGAGACCAGCATCCAGCAGACATGTACCAGGGTACTCACTACCTGGTACCAGGTCCCATCACCTCCTCCTCCCTTGGAACACCAAGGGGGACAATTCCTGCTCAGCAAGACCCAAGTAACATAAAGAGAGGTGCTGACCTCCTTGTGAGAGGGCTTTGGCTTTCTTCTTTCTGTTTTCTTGAGATCACCTGGAAGGCACAAGGAGAGGAGATACTGGAGCCATCTTTGGTTATCAAAGATAAGAAGAGAACTGCCACAGACTCATCTCCCCCATTTACAAGAAGGCTCCATTTTCACCCACACCGGAGCTGATGTCACATCTCAAAGCCCTCCAGCCTAAATACACTTCATAGTGCTACCATCCCCAATAAAGCATCATGAAACCCGCCTAAGCCAGCAAGTCAGCACTGATTCACAGCAGGGAGGATCTCAACAGCTCTTGGTTTTCCCAACCTCTTTATCCCAGAAGTCTTTCGGGGCACGCTAGGATGTAAGATACTCCCAGGGATGTAACAAGGGACAAGAAAGAGGATGGATTTCGTTTTTATCCTCTCAGAGAAGACCAATAATGCCAGAGGGGGAATGGTCATTCCTGGGGCTCTTTGGGAAATCTGAGGACAATGAGCTCCCTGTTTTCCCATCACTTCCCACGAGTTCCCATGCCAGCACAACACATATGAATATGGGCTCGGTCATCAGCACAGGCCTTCGGTCAGACACAGGGAATGAAAATGGAGGCAAACTGAAGCAGAACTGCAATGCCCAGATCAAGGGTGGATTTTGAATACACTTTTAGGAATAGGCTCTGCCAACATAACCTGGAGACCGAAGCAACCCTTCCTTCCCCCTTCCTCCACTGCCCAAACAGGGATCTTCCCCCCATTTGCTTAAGCTCTTACCCGAAAGGAGACGGTTCTTGGGCTGGTTCGTCTGATGGAGCTGCTGTAGGTGACCTGAGTTGGGAAAGCATCCGACTTCTCTGCAGGTTCCTCTGGGGTGGCAGACAGCTGGATTGCCTCCTTTGGGGGATTCCTGCATGGCTGCTGAGGAAAAAGCAGGCACCTGATGCATCCCTGCAGAGAAGGCTGAGGTGCAGGGAGCAGAGCAGCCAAGGTGGGAACTGCTTTGGAGGCAGGATCTGAGGTTGAGGTCCTCCAGACCTTGGCTGTCTCATTTGGACAGGCAAAGCCCTAAAGACCTCTTCAATGAAACCGTGATGGCAATCAGCAGGGGCTTGCTGGAGAAGGGGATCAGAACAGCACATGCAAGGGAGGGAAAGGGGGTGCTGGGACCCTGTCCACCACCTCATAGTTTGCAGCTTTCAGAAGAACCTTCCCCAGAAGCCCACGGTTCCATTTCCCTCCTGGTGCTTTGGGGCTCTCCCTCTCTCTGCTGTCCTCCCAGGGCCTCACACCCCAGGGGTTGGTGCCTTCTCCATCCCTGCTCACCTGCTGCTCCAGGGATGAGGTTGCCACCGAGGACGTCTTCTCCATGCTGCGGCTCCCTTGCCTGGTCAGGATCTTGACCTCGCGGAGCCGGCAGCCCCCCAGCTCCGTCAGGGCCCGTGGCTCCTGCACCTCCTTTCTCTGCTCCCCCCGAGGAGTCCCCACACCTTGTTCCTCCTTGTCCTGAAGCCGGGCCCTCACCACCACCTTCCTCTCCAAGGCCAGCAGCCGGTGTCGGTCTCCTGGTGGGTCCCCTCTGCCCTTGGCCACATCCCGATCCCGCTGTCCAGCCTGGATGCTCTCCTGCCCTGTGTGCAGCTGTGTTCCTGTCTCCGCAGGGCTCGCTCCCACCCCTGGATCCTGCTGCTCCTTCTCCTGCCTCAGTTTCCCAGAGACTGCCATCGGGGACCTTGTCCGTCTCCCTTCTTGCGTCTTCAGCACTACCGAGAGCTTGTGCTCTTCCCCATCCTCTGTAGACACGGCCTTCACCAGGGGTTGAGGTCTGGAGATGGAGACAAAACGGGGAGCAAACCTCAGCGCCCCAGGACCAGAGGGCTGGGTTTGTGCTGCAGGTGAAAGGCTTTGGGGTGTGTGTGTATAAAGCCCCCACCAACATCCTGGAGTCATCCCTGCAGAGCAGGACTTGCAGCCACACTCATCACTGCCACCCCTGCTATAGGCTCTCTGAGGACAAGTTTGGGTTAAAAGTCTTCCTTTCCTTTTTGTAGCAGAGTTTAAGCACTTCTACAGCCTCACCCCAGGACATCAGCATCCACAAGGATATTTGCCTTCCTCCTGAATTGCAATCACATGGGCAGCCTGTGCTAGCACTAGGGAAGGAGAACTTTAATCTATCTTGTTCATAGTAGTCCTGTCCAGCCCCTATCCAACCCAAGCACCCTAACTCCACCCCACCTGAACCACAGAGAGTAACAGCTCTAGAGCACAGATCCCACTGTGCACGAACCCCGTCTAAACACTGGACATCTCCAGGATCAATTTAGAGAGGGCTCTGGTTGTGAAAGGGCAGTCTGACCTCAGAGCACCTCCAAAACCCAGCTCCCTGCAGCAAGGGACTTTGGGAACACCACCGGAGCACCCTTGGGTTGTCTCCCCATTCCAGCAAAGGCCATAGAGCATCACTGCAAGGACCAGAGGAGGAGGATAGGCTCTGCATGCTGAGCTCACCTGCCCTGCAGAGATGGGTGCCTGCCTGCTCTTCCCTGCTCACAATCCCACAAGATTATGGCCAGTACCCACTCAAGCTCAGCATCAACCCTTATCCTGGAACACCTGCTCCCTGTACCACGGGATATGTTGAAGCTCATTATTAAGCCCACCAGAGATATATCCCTCTCCTTGTACCCCTCCTGTGAAGCTCATCCTTCTGCCTAAAAACCCATTGAACTCCTCCCCCAGCCCAGCCCACTCTTACCCAACACAGTCCCACCAATTGCAGCAGCTTCGGCTCAGGACCGATTAAAACAAGGCAGCAAGCTGCAAGCCATCAGCATCATGATGAAGACTGATGCCAGCAGCACCCCACACACCTGCTGGAAGCCGGGCTGGTGCCTTTTACAGGGCTGGGAGGTTCTTCTTCTGTCGATGTGGAGGACAACAGGTTCCGGTGCCTTCGCCGGCGCTCCCTTTGCTGCTCTTCTTCATCCTCCAGGGTCCTCTGCCTGGCCAGGCTGTTTGGGATGAAGCATAAGGATATGGTGATGCTCTGTCCCGCATGGGCAGCCTGCAGCCCCGTTGCCAGATGAAAGGGGACTGAAACACCCTTGGGAAGGGCTAAGGGGCTGATGGAGGTTGCCTTCCCCAGCTGCTCACGGGGCTGGAGGAGAGGGATACCAACACAAGCCCGGTGTCATAAAGCGCTCTCACTTCAGCCAGCTGACGCAGGCATTTCCCAACACAAGCACTAGACACCTCCTAATTTCTTCTGTTAGAGGGATCACTCATTTAAAAGGAATCCCTACATTAAGCAAACCTTCCCAGGCAAGGATATTTAACATGTAACTCAGCAAGACCAGGACCCTAGAGCCACCGCATAGATCTCAACCACATTACCTGGAAGGGAAACCACTGGTGGCAAAAGATTTTAGCCCCGGCGTGATTTGTGGTGATGGCATTTTCATTTTTATTGAGCAAAAAGCCTCAGATGCAAAAGCATCAGAGGCCAAAGGCAACTCTGCCTGGAACTGTGCTGGAAAATGCCTTTGTTGGCTGCTTTGAGCTTTCCATAGTGGTCTCCATCACCTACAATCCACAGGCAGCTGCCAAAGCACGCAGGGGTCCCAGCGGCGCTCCCCGCACCGTGACCAGCCTGCTGGGGCAGAGCACAGGCTCCATCCCCTCGCAGCATCCCCGCTCTGGAGCTGGCCCTGCAGCTTCACGCAGACACAGGGTTTACTCTGAACTTGACTTTTAAGAACATGAAAGTCAGAGCAGGTCCGGGCCTGCGGCGTCGCTCACGTTGTTCGGGCCACGGCGACAAGCGGCGTGGCTCCCGAGTTACTGTGTAATGGAAGCTGGGTCATAAATTAAACCACATTCTCCCCCCCATGAGTGTTTGCAGCTTCTTGTGCTTCCTGGTCAGGGGAGGCAGGGGAGCGGCGGGGCAGCAGAGCAGAACCAAGAGCCAAGAAGGGACCGGTCCTGGCTGGGAGCACGGCACTGATCTGGGGACAGGGCAATGCCAGGGAGAATGTGCTGCGTTTCCCTGTGCTGCCTCCATCCCCAGCACCCCTTGCACCCCCAAGCAGCCTTCTCACCCCAACAGCCATCGGATCCACTGCTGGAGGGGTTCTTAGTGGTCCCTGATGCCGTGCTTGGCATCAGAGGGATGGAGGAGGCCGGGACCTGCACTGAGCATCCTCAGCTTGCTCTCACCCCATCAGGGGACACCGTGTCCTTACAGCTCTACTCACCTCCATGGGCCTGACCCTGTAAATATTTGTGCTCGGCTCAGCTGCCCTGGGAAGGCAGCACAGATTTATCTGCATGGCACAGCGTGATCTCCTGGTGCAGCAATCATAGAACCATGGAACGGGTTGGGTTGGAAGGGATCTTAAAGCTCATCCAGTTCCAACCCCTGCCACAGGCAGGGACACCTTTCATTAGATCAGCTTGCTCCAAGCCCCATCCAACCTGGCCTCAGACACTTCACACGTTCCCACCAGGCAAGGTTAACACGTGCATGGGGACTTACACACACAGGGACCATGGCTAAAGGGCTCTTGTCCCTCAAGCAGTGACAGCATGGAGTGCTAACCCCGCTTTACATCCACTTGACAGCCAGCTACCCCTTTGCTTTCGCACGTACAGCCTCCTTCAGAATGAAAATGAGATTTTCCTGCCTTGAGTTTGCTTGGCTCCTCGTGAGCTGCACGTAACCTGGCATTACCAACATGCAGTTTCTCGTTGCCATTACACAATCCGCCCATTAGGCTATGGATTTGCTTTGCCAACCTCCCTGTCCTCTTTTCAAAGAGGGATTTATTCTTCACCCTCTTTGCTTTTTCAAACTCATAGAGATGAATGAAAACGGATTGGTGAGTCTCCCCCTGCTTTGTCCTCTCCTGCCCTGTTAATCATTATTGCTCAGAGAGCTGACATTCATGCTGTTTCAGTGATTGCTCTCTCATCTAATGAGAGAGGAGAAACTGCCTGCCTGGGTTGTGAAACAACCTGGGTGCAGGACCCCGCTGGGCCTGTGTTCAGGCAGATCTGTGCCTCAGAGGAGGTGCATCTGGATGGGGCTGGGATGTCCTCTGGATCCATCCCATCCCTGATGGAGGCCGGGTGTGAGCTGGCAGCCTCTCAGCAATGGGGTCTCAGTTCCCTTTTCCAGGCTGGCTGTTGTGGGTACCTTTATGCCAAGTACTGGGGTTTGCATTTAAGTCTTGGAATCACATCCACTTAAACTGGGATTTCTGCTCTTTTGAGTCACCACCTCCCTGCCCGTGCAGGTTCTTGCCCTGGGGTCTGCAGGAGGTGGGGAGCGATCCCCACATCACCCAGGCTTCATGGGAGCCCCTGATTCACACCATGATGCCCCAGAGCCTCTCCTGGCCCAGCTCCCATCGGAGCCAAGATCCATTGGACCGAGCGAGTGGCAGCGACGCGGGGCTGCGGGGCTCATCCAGCGCCTGCAGATGAATCAGGGTTTGCTCAGCGCCGGGCAGGCAGAGCCAGGACACGCACCCAGGGGCTGTGTGAGTATGGGGTGAGCAAAAACCCCATAGCTGGCTGTGGGGCAAGTCTGGAGGCACAGCCCAACCAGTCTGTGCCCCAGAGAAAGTCAAACCAGACCAAAACCACACGCAACGCGGGGCAGGGATGCCTTTCCAGAGCCATTTTCCTATGCGGAGCTCAGCTTCCCCCGAAAACAAGAATGCTTCTGATCTTGCTCGCCCACAAGGAATTCCAGCAGTGCCAAGCTCTGGATGGGACTGGCACCACCTCTGTAATCAAAACCCTTCTGCCAGCTCTTCCTGTCCTCCCCAAGACCCCTTGGCCAAGGCTCCTTGTGCCAGCAGCCCACCCTGACGCCTTCCCTCTCTCCAAGCGTTAAGCATTAAACCCCAGCACCTACCTGGAGAGATCGGACCAGTTCCTTCTGCCCAGAGACATTCCTGCTTCCCGTGAGTCTCAGAGAGCCCCACAAACTCGTGCAGGCATCGAGGCCAAGGGGCTGCCGGACCGCAGCGGGGGATGCTCGCTGCTCCGAGCCTCTGCTCCCCGGGGAGGGAAGGAGCTCGCTGCAAGGTTATTTCCCTGTGCACCTTTACCCTGCGTGCAGCCCGTTTGCCACCACGCTGCATCACATGGCTCCTTATCTACCTTGACAGGGGCAAGGCTGTAATTTGTCTATTAGCGGCGCCGGGAGAAAGCCGCCCTGCCCAGCAGTGACCCCAAGCGCGGCTCACTCCCCGCTGCCGGCTGTGCTCCAGCGCGGACCCGAGCTCCGGGCTCGATCCATCCAGGTCTCCCAGGGTTTCGGAGGCAACTCCCTGCGGAGAACCTGTTTTACCAGCCGCTCCGCACCAGTCAACAGCTCCTCCAGCACCGGGGGAGGAGGTGAATTACCTTGGGCTGAGTGGGAGGAGGCTGGCTCCCAGGGATCCAAAACAGTCATTAAAACACCTCCACCTGGGTGCAGTCCAGCCCTTTCCAAAGAGCACGGGAGGGTGTCCTGCCCCTTTCAGCCTTCTCTGGACATCTTGGATTGAGCTGTCTCAGCTTCCCTGTCGTGTCCATGGGCTTTATGCTGCAGTCAAGAGCACCCATGAAGTGCCAGAGGAAGTGTCTGAAGCATGGGGAGGGATCCAGTCTTTGAGTGCTGAAGCCCTGTGCTAGAGGCGAGCTGTGCGCTCAGGCTCACCCCATGCCTGGGCCCAATCCATCACCCCCCTGGGCTGGTCCCAAGTCTCTGTCCCCCCCATGCTCGCACAGGGCAACGCTGTCTTTCAAAGGGCCGATGTGAAGGCAATGGGGGGACCGTCTTTGTTTTATCAGGGTGACAAAGGCACCCAGACACAGCAGAGCCAGGTCCAAGACTGGTTTTCACTTGGGCCCAGCCCAGGGACCTGGTGCTCCCATTGTTGGTGTCAGCTTGGCGACCACAGTGGATGCCTGCAGAAGAAGTCATCCAGGACCCCTTGAGAACTAATTCAGTCTCTGATCCCGATGAGATCCATCCATCCGCCACCCGAAAGCGCTGATTGTAAGGCTGGGCTTGCCACACTTGCCTCCAACCCACAGGGGTGTGCCGGGGCCATGAGTAATCAAAGGAACTATTATAATCAAAGGTTCCTGATTAAAATCCCATTTCTAAGAGATAGCCCTGTCAAGCGAACGTGTGCCCTGAGCAGGGCTTGGTCTTTGTTGCTCTTTCTTCTTGCTGTAACCCGTTGTCTTTCACCTCAGCGAGTTATGGCATAAGGAAAGGAAAGTACTTCAATAACTTCGTGAGCGTCCTGCTAATTGCAGACAAGCCGTACAGAGCAGTTCAGCACGAGCAAGTCACCATAGAGCCATAAACCTTTCTGATTAATGCGCAGGGGAGCACTTCACTTGCAAAACTCGTTGCCAAAGGACATCACTGAAGCACGGGACCTAATGGGATTTTAAAAAGGATTAGAGAGAACCTAGTGGGAGAACACCCCCAGCTTGGATCCACACGGCAAAGGGGTATCAATCCTTACAGTCTGTAATTCCTCTTATTCTTAAAGTGAAGGCATTCCAGGCAGGCATTTAGAGGCTGGGGATTAGGCAGAGGAGGATACTCACCCCTTACAGTCCCTTGGTCTTTATTTTCAGCTCAGAGACTTTTGAGCTCAATGTGGTTTCCTCAGTGGGTTTCTCCTCCATGGATTTGCCCAGTTTCCCTCAAACCCAGGAAAACTGTTAGTATAAAAAACATCCTTCAGCATCCTCCCTCTTCCCTCCCCTTCTTTAATTTGGATGGGGTCCTGCTGATCACTTTGGCAGCACAAAAGACTGTTCTCTCATGGTTGAGACTTTCTCTGCCATGGAGCATTCAGGTCATGTTTTCCCTGATGTTCCTCATGTTTTTTTCATGTTCACCATATTCCCAACCAGGCAACAGCCAACCCAGAGCCTATATATACTATATATATATGTATGTATACATATATCCATCATCATATGAAGCTACACTGGATTTTTCCCTATATACTCCTCCAAATACCCCTTGCCATTTTATCCCCAAACCCCAAGTCCTGCAAGATCTTTCTGAACATCTGCATCATCAGTCTTCATCTCTGCTGTGCCAAATACACAAGAATTATCAGCAGTTTATCTCATTGTCATTTCCTGTCTGCTAATTTATTTACCTCTGCTTGGACTTTCCCTCTTAACAATGGATGACCTAAAGGTCTTTCCCTCTGGAAATCCGTGAAAACCCTTATCTACAAGGTCGCCCTTATCTACAAGCTCATCCAGTGAACCCCAGACACTGAGTGAGACAGGACTTCCCTTTACAAAAGCTACTATGGCCACCATGAGCTCATCACCAAAGCCAGACCAAACTGCAGGTCCACAAAGGTGAAGGTGCAGTAAGGCAGAGGCATGAATCCATGCACAAAAGGGATGTCCAGGGGAGCGAGTCTGGCATGTATCCAGATGTGCTGTACACAACAGGCTCTCATATCTGCTGTCCCAGATCTACGACCAGGAGAGGAAAGTTACGTGCTCTTGGCAAAGGGAGTTGTGCAACAGGACTCTACTGCGTGTAGGCAAGGCTCTGGTGTAAAACCTCACTGCTCTCTGGGTCCCTGCTTTGCCCAGGGATGGTTTTCCAGCTGCTTCACGGGATGGCTCTGCCAGAATAACTACATCTGCCTGAGGAGCTCAGGGAGGCCAGAACTTCATAGAACCCCAGCCTTGTTTGTGTTGGAAGGGACCGTAAAGCTCCTCCAGCTCCAACCCCTGCCACGGGCAGGGACCCCTTCCATAGAGCAGCTTGCTCCAAGCCCCTGGGTCCAACCTGGCCTTGAACACTGCCAGGGATGGGGCAGCCACAGCTTCTCTGGGCACCCTGTGCCAGCGCCTCAGCACCCTCACAGGGAAGAGCTTCTGCCTAAGAGCTCAGCTCAGTCTCCCCTCGGGCAGGTTAAGGCTGCTGATCTGCATTGATGCAGATCAGCAGAAGACACACATTAATGCTCACTAAGGAGCTAGACCAGTATCAGCAAGGGTTTGCTGTTTTTTTTCCCTTGGGATCAGTGTCCTGTCTCTCATCCTGATGTAGAGCCTGTTTCTTTAGCTATAGGGCAGTGGAGAGCTTCCAGTTTCCACAGCTGTGCTCTCATTAGGGCATTCCTCAACCTCGCCCCAGGGCCCAGTGGTGAACCCTCCATCTCCACCCTTGGACCCATGCTGGTCCCTCAGCATCAGCCACTGCTCCATTCCCCCCTCGGCTCCACAGGCTCACACTGCTGGTGGTGGAGCAGAGTCAGCAGCATCATCTGCCCCGGCTTCCCCAATGGGCTGTGCCATGGGGCTCCATGGCCTGGAAAAGGCTTTTTCACCCTTCCTCAGCTGCCATCCCATCGCTGCAGTGATGCAACAGCTCACACAGGTCCCATCAGTGAATGCTTTAATGCTGCACATGGAGGCCTCCCTTCATCCCCACACTGGTGCTTTGCAGGTGCCGGGATGGTCCAGGGCTCTCCTTCCCCAGCTGCAATTCCTTCAGCTTTGGGGAAGACGTGTGTGATGCACTAGAAACTGATAGCACAGAGGTCCGTCGGCTGTGAAAGTGGCTGAAGGTGGTGTGTGTTTGCTCAGAAACTGAACAAAACCCAACCACAGGCTTTTCTGTAGGACAGGAACAGCCCTCCTTCAACCTGCCTTGCACCCAGCTACCAGAGGGCTTTTCTTCATTTATAATTCAGCCTTTTTAAGATGAAAAGAAGTATTTCAGACAAATCTTGGCTCAGAAATGCCACCATCGTGCCCCACAGATGCTATAATGTCCTTCAGGTTGCCATTCTCCTCTGCAGATTGCTCTCCTTATTAGATGCCATTTCCCATGGTGCCCCCGGTCTAATAATGAGCAGGCCTAATAATGGACATGCCCTAAAAGTGGTGTCTATGGAAACTTTCCAGGTCATGGACAGACTGCGTGTGGCACTGTCAGCAGCGGACTGCATCCCTCACAGTGCATGGAATTAGTTGCCATTAATGAGAAATCCCCTCCGATTTGAGCAGGGAGGGAGAGGGCTCAGGCCACAGCAAGGGAAGATGGACAAGGAGGATGTACCAAGCACCTTGCTGCATCCCTGCCCCGTTCCTCCTGCAGGACCCAGAAGGCTGCAGGAGGTGAAAATAGGGGTGAAGAAACCCCTTTCTTCCCATGTTATACTGCAGGGGACACCCAGGGCGTGCAGCGATGACTCACAGGGTGATGGGTGGTTATGCTATAACCCTGCTGCTGCGGTGCTGTCCCCTCCTGCTCAGCCACAGCAGGGGTTTGATCCTGCACCAGCAGCACTGCAGAGGCCATGGGGGGCAATGGGAGGTAATGTTTAACCTCTGCCACCAGGGCCTGCAGCCTGGCATTAACCCCGTGCAGGGCCGTGTCCTGCACTGCTCTGCAGAGCCCATGGGGTAAACCTCAGCCCTTCCCACCCAGGGTTGCCCATCACCTTTAATCCTCCTCCCCTTCCTCCCTTTGCAGGTCCAGCCACCAGCTGAGCTGCGGATGTGCTCAGAGGAATATCTGGGCACAGTTCAGATGTCTTTGGGCAGGACCAGTGAGCAAGGAGTTTGCAGAGCATCCCGGGCAAGGACAGGACCATTTGACAACCAGCTGGGAGGGATAGTTTTGAAAGGTCACATCAGACCAAGCCCTTTGCATCTCCCTCATTGCAGTTTTACCAGCAGAACCTTTCCAGTAGCAAATCACTGCACTGACCGATGCCGAGGGTCTCTAATGTCCGATTGGATTTGCAATGTCTGCAATTTCAAGCTTCCAGTGCTGTGCTTTTTGCTTTGCTTTGTTTAGTTTTGCTTTGGGGGCACTTGGCTGCAATGAAACAACCTGGAGCAGGGTAAGGACAGGGCTCTGCTCAGTTCTAGCAGTGACTCATGCAGGTTTTCTGCCAATAAGTACCATTTCATTAACTCCAGCATCAGCCCCTCTCCCTAAGAAGAGCTCTGTGAGTCCCCCATTTGGGATGAATTGTCAATAAAATGGATTGCTGTAAGGTTGCCTTCTAATTCAGAGAGCAGAAATCAAGATTATGGTCACCTAGGAGGGAAGCTGCAGGGGAAGGCAGGCCCGTCCTAGGATGAAAGGCTCAACCTGCCCCTCTTACCAAGGGGGGACCTGGGCTCACGATTGCCCCAGAGCCACAGAAGCAGCTGCAGAGCAGAGGTGGAGGGGAAGACTTGGCTCCCGTTGCCCCGTTCCAACCCGGAGAGCCACATGCTCAGAGCAGACAACTGCATTTCCCCTTGAGATCCAATGCCTGTAAAGAGATGGGGTTTTCCATGTTCGTAATAAAACTGCAATCCATAAAGCTTAGCTTTCCCATGCCCATCAATGTGGTTTTCCAGGACATGGTGACCGGCCACCATCGTACTTTGACAAAGCAGGAGAGCCTGCAGAGTGAAGAGTTGTGGGGTTGGGTTCTCCCCTCGTCCTCCTCAGTGTAAAACTTAAGGCAGCCATGCAAAGTCATCTATAACCTGATGGGTGCATGTGGACCCTGCTGAGCACACCCCGGCTGGCTCTTAGGTGCTGGCGAGCCCTGAGGTCCTGCTCTGTAGCAGTTTCGGGTGTCTTAGTGCACAGGACCCGATGATGAGCTGGGCACGGGCACCGACCAGAGCGTGGTCCCACAGCACCCATATTGCCTTTCATCTCACACCCATCCCTCCCCACCCCACAAATGTCACCCTTTTCTTTAATTACAAAATTAGAATAATTGCCCTAAGCTCAGAGCAGCTCCTCTTGACCCGGACTTGGCTTTGCCATCGTCTGCTTCTGTTCCAGCTCTGCAGAAGGCTTTGTTTCCATGAAACCTCTTACATTTTCCAGCTATACCAGTCGGTCAGGTAACAGTTATTGCCTCTCCCTATACATCTTTCTTCCTCTGCCAGGATTGCTGCTGAGTGTGTGAGTTCCCTCTGGGGAATAGCGTGCACGGTGAGATCCCAGGACGCTGCCTCAGCACGGCTCCTGCTCGAGGGGCTGAGATGGCAGCAGAACCCTGGGTGCTGCGGGGCCATGGCAGCACCCTGGGACCCCACCTCGCATCATCTCCGATCACCTCCTAGACCAGTCACTTGGGTTGGCCAAGACAGAGACTTGCTGTGCCTGCAGGGAGCCCGTCCCGAGGCGCACAGGGTGAGGACAAGTGGTCAGCGAGTCCCTGCACTGTGCTGGGATGTGGCTGCTCCCTCCAGCTGAGCTTGGAAAGGAGAAAATGGGTGGAAAAGGACCTGTGCTGTGCAACTGCTCCATGGGGAGTGGTCATGGCCCCACTTAATAGGATGCTGTTGGGGATAGAGGGTCAGGTGGAAAGACAAAGTCTGAGCATCCGTGCTTGCTAAAGGACATAATGCGTGTTTTCCAGCTGACTCCCCTCTAATCTGACCCTAATTTGGGGAAGAGTTTTCCTACCGAGTCTTAAACTCTCTGTAAAGGAGCTGCTGGGATATTGTGGCAGCCCAGTGCTAATGACCATGCAGGAAGTATTCCCAAGACCTGGCACAGGGATGTTCCAGCGGGCAGGAAAGGACCAGGCTATCTTCCCCACCAGGCTGTGGACCAGCTCCTGCCCCTGTCAACGCTTCCACAGCGACAAGTCCACGCGATGCTCTGCCTGGGAAACCATCCTTTAATACACATGCAGCCATGGGGGTACATCAGGCTGCACCACCAGAGGATGGGGTTTGGGAGGACCAGCAGCCACCTCCAGGTCCTCCCTGCAGTGGTGGAAGGGGAGGGATGGCCAGTGCCCCCTTGGAGACAGCGTGGCCCATGGGGGTGATAGCGGGGAACCGCTGTGCCGAGGCAGTGAGGGAGCAGGGCTGATGGCAGAGCTGAGAGGAGAAAGCTCAGATCTCCTTTCCACACGGTTGTTCATGCGATGCAGCTCAGTGTAAGGGTGTAAAGAGCAGAGGGGCAGCAGGGGAAAGGGTGGCAGCAGCAGGGGTGGGGAGGGCTCTTCTTCCTGATGCTCCTGTGGGAAAGAAACAGAGCAGAGCAGTGGGAACAAAGGGGTTCTCAGGCTGCTGAAAGCAGCTGGAGTTGGTGCCAGCAATGGCCAGGCTGTGGAGGAGCAGCGTGGTATGGGCAGCAGATGCTGGAGAGCTGGGGAGGACAAGCTGGGAGAGGAGGAGAGCTGCTGGCAGTGCTCTGAGGGCTGGAGGACTACAGAGCCAGGCTGAGGGAGTTTGGGTTGTTCAGCCTGGAGAAGAGAAGGCTCCTGAAGGGGAGACCTGAGAGCAGCTCCAGTGCCTGAAGGGGCTGCAGGAAACCTGGAGAGGGGCTTGGGACAAGGGATGTAGGGACAGGCCAAGGGGAATGGCTTGAACCTGCCCGAGGGGAGACTGAGATGAGCTCTTAGGCAGAAGCTCTTCCCTGTGAGGGTGCTGAGGCGCTGGCACAGGGTGCCCAGAGAAGCTGTGGCTGCCCCATCCCTGGCAGTGTTCAAGGCCAGGTTGGACACAGGGGCTTGGAGCAAGCTGCTCTATGGAAGGGGTCCCTGCCCGTGGCAGGGGTTGGAGCTGGAGGAGCTTTAAGGTTCCTTCCAACACAAACCATTCCCTGATTCTATGGTCCTAGGGCAGTCACCCATCCCAAGTGTGGGGTGGGAATGGGGCCTGTGATGACTTTGCCGAGTGGTGGTGTTTTCTGTGTGTGTTTGGTCACAGTCACAGACCCGGGGTGCTGCAGGGAGCACAGGGCATCTCAGGGGAAGGAGAACCAGTGCCCTACCTCTCACTGGCCCGTGGGGGACTTGGCAGCATCGAACATCTTCTTCCGTCCCTCCATCCCCGACATGGCCTCCACGTTCTTGCGCCAGTCGCCCACTTCCACGGGACGCTCCTGCAGGGACAGGGGTGGCAGTGGCCATGGATGGGGTGTCCAGCAGCCCCACACTGTCCCACCCCACCGCACAGCGCCCTCGGCCCCAGGCGGCATAGGGAAGGTCGCTGCCCTGCTGCGAACACCCTCTCCATCGGTCCCAGCTCTGCCACGTGTTCTCTGGGAACATGCCCAAGTGTCTGCTCTGCCAACCCACAGGCATCCATAGATTACAAACCGTGCCCCAAAATCATCTCACGACATCTAAACTGAGCTCAGATCTATTCACCGCCTGGCGCTGAGGGCTGTGAACGCCGTTGCCTATGCAAAGGGCTGAGTTGTGCTGTACAAGAACAGGAAAAGTCAGGAAAATCAGTTGAAAATGGAGATTTCATCTGATGCACTCAGCTGGGACCAGACCTTTGCAGGGAGGCCCTAGGAAAGGGGCACAGCTCTTGCCATTGGGTGCCTGCACACCCCAGGCAGGTTTGGGCATCGTTCTCTGTCTCTGCTAGAGACCTCCCTCTCTCACATCTCTGCAAAGCTGGTGTGATGTGGGCCATACATCTCAAGCCAAATGCACTTGCTGGGCTGGCTCTGCCTTATCTAATCTGGGTTTGGGAATTTCCCGAGTGTTTTCCGGGCATGATTGCACTGAACAGGAGCTCTCCTGGTTCCCTACGAGACCAAAGACCAAACTCTCTGCAAGTGCAGCTCAAAAGACATGCCAAGGGGGCCCCAGCTGAAAGACCCCACATGCTCTGGGAGGGAAGAGCAGCATGGACACAGCCCTAAATCTCACTTGATATCATCCACCAGGTACCTGGCGCAGTCAAACTGCTCCCATGTGGTCCTGCAATGGGCCCATCTTCACAAGGACTGCCTTGTGCTATTTCTGAGGTCACAAAGGATGAGCAACAACCCGCGAAGGACCTCGGAGAAGGGCGAGAGCATCCCTAGGAGGTGCCTCCATCTCTGGCCTCTCGAAGAGTCGCCCACCTTCTCCGTGTCCTCCTTCTTGACGGACTTCAGGTTGGCTCTCAGGTCCATGGACACCTTGTGCTTGGAGCCCAGCAGAGCCCTCAGCATGGCATCGGCAGAGACACGGACGCGGCGCAGCGGGGGCCGCTTGAACTTCCCTCGGAGGTCGAGCACTTTGATTTTCAGGTCTTTAATCTGCACGTGGGAGAAAGGAGCAGGAGCCGGGGGTCACCGCGCGTGAAGGAGCCCTCCTGCAGCCGTGAGGACTCCCCTCAGCACCTGAGCACAGAGCTGCTGCCACTGCCTGCTCCCAGCCTGCTCGGAGGGCAGACATCCCATGACAAGAAGCTCTCAGACCCACGAAGGGTGACCAGGAGAGGAGGAGGTTGCCTGTGGACCCAGTGGACAGTGGGAATTCCCTGAGGCCGGGATGAACCTTGGGCACAGCGATGTCTTGCACCCTCAGATAACCCTGGTGCACATCCCACATCCCAGCTCAGCCCGGTCCGTGACACACTCCAAGCTGCCATCTGGATGGGAGTTAACGTAGGAGCAAACTGCCCATCCTGCCTCCTACCTCCCGAGTGTTATGGTTGCATTTCGCTTCGATGTCGTATCTCTCTTCATCCACGATTTCAACCTTCTCATGCAGCTCCCTGCACAGGTCCTGGGGGGCAAGCGCAAGAGGAGAGCAGTGAGTGATGCCCCTCCATGCCCCCAAGGACCTCAGTCCACCCTCAGACCTGAGAAATACCTGGAGCTGGCTCAAGGAAAGCCCACTGGTGCGCAGCGGTGTGATCCGCTCAGACAGGTACCTCTCCTTCTCTGCCTGCTTGTCCACAATCTCCTGATCCCACTCCTCCTTCGCCTTTGCCAGCATCAGGCTCTACAAGCACAAGTAAATGGCACAAGTGTGAACAGACGGGCTCCTCTGTTCCCCCTGAGCATCCTCACGTATCGTCTATAGGCTGGGACAGGCCTGTCTGCCTCCAAACCCCATCCCTGCTGGGGCTGTCCTCCCCAGATCCCTGTGCTGCTGCAGCACACATCAAACAACCCCTGCACCTTTCGTGTGGTGGCCCTGAAGGTGCATGGCCGGAGGCAGCACGGGGTGGTGGTCCCGACGGATGCTGTTGTCAGCACTTTCTCTGCATGGGTTTGCTCTGCTGGGGCACTAAATGGTTCTCCCAAGCCACAACCGGGGGAGCTCCCAAGCTGATGCTGCAGAGCTGCTGGTGCACAAACACGAGGTCTGTGGCTTTAGAGCTGAAGGCGTCAGAGTCTCTCCCCACCTCAGCAAAGGGGAGGTTTGTTTAGTGCATGGACCACAAAGCCCACATGAGTGAGGATTTTGGGGCAAGACAAGAGGTGGGACTGGGAGCTGCTCCCCAAGGGCCATTCTTCTGCTGCTCCTCATGGCTGTCCCCCCGACCACGCACCCAACCCCAGCTCCTTTTCCCCAGCAAGTCAAACCCCAGGGACTTTCCAAGCCTCAGGACTCACCTTCAACAAGAGCTTGCGTGAGGCTGTGATCTTGGATTTTCTCTAGGGGAAAGGGGAGGGGAAAGAGGAACAACAAACTTTGAAAACAAGCTCACAGCAAACGCAGAGCAGCATCGGGATCGCTCCCGAAAGGAGAAGCACTTACCTCCCTGCAGGCAGGCGTGCGTTCAGGAGGGAGCAATAAGGAGCAAGAGAAGAGCACAGAGTCAAAAAGAGGGCACAGAGAATCACAGAATCCCAGCCTGGTTTGTGTTGGAAGGGACTTTAAAGCTCATCCAGTTCCAAGCCCCTGCTCAGGGCCACTGCTCAGGAAGCCAAAATGCCATTCAAATGTGGCCACTGTGCCCATCGTGCCAGCCTCAGCAGTTCAGGCCACAACACCCCCATGTATGAGGTCCCCATGGAGCTGGGGCTGGCACGCAGGATAGAATCATAGGATCATAGGGTTAGGGTTGGAAACAACCTTAAGCTCATCCAGTTCCAACCCCCCTGCCATGGGCAGGGACACCTCACACTAAACCATGGCACCCAAGGCTCTGTCCTGCCTGGCCTTGAACACTGCCAGGGATGGAGCATTCACAACCTCCCTGGGCAACCCATTCCAGTGCCTCACCACCCTCACAGTAAAGAACTTCCTCCTTAGATCCAACCTAAACTTCCCCTGTTCAAGTTTTAACCCGTTACCCCTTGTCCTGTCACTACAGTCCCTAATGAAGAGTCCATCCCCAGCATCCCTATAGCCCCCTTCAGATACTTGGATCCTGCAGGGCTGGGGCATCTCCATGTCATTGCTCAGTGGAAGCTCTGCAGGGAGGTTTCTCCCTTCTGTTCACCCCGTGGAATAGGTTTTACCTGCATGATGTGCAGAAGAGCCTCACACAAAGAGCCTCTACAAAGAGCCTCACACAAAGAGCCTCACATAAAGAGCCTCACAGCAAAGAGGGTGGTGCCCACCCCGGATCCCTATGTTGGGATCTATAAAAGCTTGGAATTGGACATTGAAATCACTACTGAATTTGATTTAAAGCTAGTTTTTGCAATGGGAATGGCACAGAGGTCGGGCACAGACTGGGCTCACGGCTGAACCCTTCCAAGCACGGACATGCTTCTCCAGCACACGCAGCCTGTGGCCAGACCAGGATTTGATGGAATCCAAGGGGAAGCGATGCTACTCACGGCTCTGGCATTGCGGAGTCGAGCTGTTCACCTGCAGGGAAAAGCAAAACGTACCAAAAACGGGAAAGAAGCTGAAACAAAGGAGCAAATCCTGAACCCACCCAAACGCAGAGCACGGCGGCAGCGAGATCTCCTGAGGGCCGGTGCTGCCCCGTGCTGTCAGCGGAGGGAAGCGACTCCGTCCCGCTGGGAAGCACCAAGACAGCCCCCTTGCTCTGGGCCAAGCTCATCGCGGGCAAGCTCCAGCCTGCCTCCAGCCGGCCCTGCAGGACTCGGTCTCTGCTCCTTAGGGGTTTTCTCAAGCACGGAGCTGCTCCCGCATGGACTCCGTCACCCACCCTGGCTCAGGGCGAGGGGATGGAGGCGAGCGTGGATGGAAAGAGCAGGAGAAATGGGGGGGTCCCTGCACCATGTGAGCTTGGGGCGTCCCATCCCACAGCTCCCCCTTGGCAACCACAGGGGTGCTGGAGCCAAAATCCATCTCGGGAGTGGCAGAGCAGAGGGCAAAGCGTCACAGGGAAGCGCCTGAGCTGATCCCTTCGGCAGCCGCGGAGCTGGCAAAACACGCACGGGCTCACGGCTTAAATGTCCTGGGTAATCCTATGCCCTGGCAGCTGCTTCCAACTGCACTGCTTCCCAGCACTGCACACAGCATTCCCAACTGCACCCAGCATTCCCAACTGCACTGCTTCCCAGCTCTGCACACAGCATTCCCAACTGCACCCAGCATTCCCAACTGCACTGCTTCCCAGCTCTGCACACAGCATTCCCAACTGCACTGCTTCTCAGCTCTGCACACAGCATTCCCAACTGCACCCAGCATTCCCAACTGCACTGCTTCTCAGCTCTGCATCCAGCATTCCCAACTGCGCTGCTTCCCAGCTCTGCACACAGCATTCCCAACTGCACTGCTTCCCAGCACTGCATCCAGCACTCCCAACTGCACTGCTTCCCACCTCTGCCTCCAGCATTCCCAACTGCACTGCTTCCCAGCACTGCACCGCTTCCCAGCACTGCACCCAGCATTCCCAACCACACTGCTTCCCAGCTCTGCCTCCAGCACTTCCCTCCCATGCCAAGAAGCCGAGGCACTGTGTAAGTCTAAGTAATAGAAAAGCGTGGGGGAAAAGCCCACCAATTCAATCTTTTCCTCTTTCCAACCAGGAGAAACAAACTGATCCCACATTTCAGACAGAAACAGCATTTTCCAGGGGTGGATTTAGTCCTTTTCCTTGGATTTTTTGCTTTAATCTCTTTGTATCCCCCTCAGTTTGGAATCCCAAAGATTCCTGCTGGGGGAAAGAAAAAGGAACAGGTCTGGTCTCCAACAGCTGCTCCCAAACACATGGAACCTTTGCCAAGCAAATTCCAGTGCACATCCTGGCTGCATCCAGTTGTTGCTGTCCTGTCCCCATGCCCCCCCATTGCCACAGCCTGAAGGAATGGAGTTTGTGTGGGAAATGCCATAAGATCCCAGCAGGAATCATCTCCCCCAGAGCGCGCCCTGGATTTACATGGAAAATATCCCCAAAGCTTTTTTTCTCCCCAAAGCCGCATCAGTCGGATGCAGCCAGAGCCTGTCCGGAGGGGTCTGGGGGGACAACAGGAGCACACGCAGGGAAGGCGGCTCCTCTCCCCCGACACTGGTGTGCTGAGTGGGTCAGGTCTCAGCTGCTCCCTCCAGTTTGCCCCTGGGGAGGCAGAGAAGCCTTTGGGCTCTCTGGGACTGGGCAAAGCCTCCCAGCGTCTCCAGCATTCCCTGTTGGAGCACAGCCCGGCATCCCTGGGAGGTGGGACCCACACCACCCCTCACTCCAGCGACCTCTACCAAGGTCAATTGATTTTTAGGGCCAAATAGCTCTAAATTGGCTTCCCCGGGGACAGCCAGGAGGGTGAGACATCCCCAGCAGCCTTGTGCAGGGATTTCTGGGCTCCAGCTGGATCTCGAGCATCCACAAGAGACTGATAGGGACAAGAGGACCTGGATGAGTTTGTTCCGCACTATTTGTCCACCCCCAGCCATGAAAAGCTTAAAAATCTCATTCAATCGTTAGATTGTGGAAAACTTTACAAGAAACAGCACCATAAATCCAACCACCACCACCCGCACACCGCACGCCGGAGACATCCCACGAGCACACTGCCTTGATCCCCCGCTCCTACGGAGACTAAAGCTGGGATAAGTGGGCAAATGATCCCAGAGCAGCTCCCGCACTGGGGCTTTCCCGTCGCACCCCTCCCACCCTGTCTCCAACAGCACAGAAGCCGCCTGAGCATCCTCAGAGGCATCCCCATGGACCAGCACCCGCGTCCCCACCGGCGCAGCCTCACCTGGGCGCTGTGCGGAGGGAGGTGATGCCTGGCCCGGGGAGCGCCGCGCACTGCCGGGGCGGGCGGTGGAAGGGGCAGTGTTGAAGGGCAGCCGGGCTGCGAGTGGCCGGTAAAAATAGCACCGAGCCCCCCTGCCTGTGCTGCCGGCGCCGGCGCGCCTCGAACGGGGCTGCACGCACCTGCACCCGCAGGAACACGCCTGGCACACGCGTGACCCCCGCGTGAGATGGGCATCCTGCGCTTGTGAATCACCCCAGCCTTGCGCACGTGTTGTGTGTGAGCATGCATGTACTGTGTGAGCATGCAAGTACTGTGTGAGCATGCATGTACTGTGTGAGCACGCATGTTGTGTGTGAGCACGCGTGTTGTGTGTGAGCATTCGTGTTGTGTGAGCATGCATGTACTGTGTGAGCATGCATGTACTGTGTGAGCATACATGTACTGTGTGAGCGCGCATGTTGTGTGTGAGCATTCGTGTTGTGTGAGCATGCATGTACTGTGTGAGCATACATGTACTGTGTGAGCATACATGTACTGTGTGAGCGCGCATGTTGTGTGTGAGCATTCGTGTTGTGTGAGCATGCATGTACTGTGTGAGCATACATGTACTGTGTGAGCATACATGTACTGTGTGAGCGCGCGTGTTGTGTGTGAGCATGCATGTACTGTGTGAGCATGCATGTACTGTGTGAGCACATGTGTGTGAGCATTCGTGTTGTGTGAGCATGCATGTACTGTGTGAACATGCATGTACTGTGTGAGCATGCATGTACTGTGTGAGCATACATGTACTGTGTGAGCGTACATGTTGTGTGTGAGCATTCGTATTGTGTGAGCATGCATGTACTGTGTGAGCGCGCGTGTTGTGTGTGAGCATTCGTGTTGTTTGAGCATGCATGTACTGTGTGAGCGCACGTGTTGTGTGCGAGCACATGTGTTGTGTGTGAGCGCGCATGTAGTGTGTGAGCATTCGTGTTGTGTGAGCATGCATGTACTGTGTGAGCATGCATGTACTGTGTGAGCGCGCGTGTTGTGTGTGAGCATGCATGTACTGTGTGAGCGCGCGTGTTGTGTGTGAGCATGCATGTACTGTGTGAGCGCACATGTTGTGTGCGAGCACATGTGCTGTGTGTGAGCGCGCGTGTAGTGTGTGAGCATGCAGGTTGTGTGTGAGCATGCGTGTTGCGTGTGAGCGCACGCGTAGTGTGTGAGCAAGCACGCATGTAGTGTGTGAGCGCACGTGTTGTGTGTGAGCACGTGTGTAGTGTGTGAGCGAGCGTGCATGTAGTGTGTGAGCATGCAGGTTGTGTGTGAGCATGCAGGTTGTGTGTGAGCACGCATTGTGTGTGAGGATGCATGTACTGTGTGAGCGCACATGTTGTGTGTGAGCATGCATGTACTGTGTGAGCGCGCGCGTTGTGTGTGAGCACGTGTGTTGTGAGTGAGCACGCGTGTAGTGTGTGAGCATGCAGGTTGTGTGTGTGTGCTCGTGTTGTGTGTGAGCACGCATTGTGTGTGAGCACAAGTGTAGTGTGTGAGCATGTGTGTACTGTGTGAACACATGTGTTGTGTGTGAGTGCGTGTGTTGTGTGTGAGCACACGTGTTGTGTGAGCACGCGTGTTGTGTGTGAGCACACAGACATGACCACGGTGCACCATACAGACGTGCTCTTCATGGCACACCTCCTTGCTCCTCTCCCATGCAAACCAGCACCAGAGAGGCTGGAAGAGCCCTGCCTTGTGCCGGGAGGCAAATCCGTGAGCCCTGAACCCCGCACTGAGCTTTCCTGGGAGAAAATCCCCTTGGTTTTATGCTGCTTTTATTTCTTTTCCTTTTTCCTTCCAGAAAACGAAAGGGGGGGGGGGTGTGGTGCTGACCCCATGCACTGTGGTGCACGCGTGCTCTGCGGTGCTGCAAACACAGTGGTGTCCCCATGGGAGCACTGGCCAAGGGGCATCCCTGGACCCTCTGGAGCAGGGCAATAGGGTGCATCCGATTGGGACCAAGGATGGGGCAGACCCTACTTTGGGGGGGGTCAGGAGCATCCAGGCTCACCCAGCACAGCACCATGCTTTGGGATGCTCAAGCATCTCCCAGCCCCTCACAAGCTGTGATGTTTTCCCCATGGAATTCCCAAAAAGCAGCACCAACGCTGCTGTCTCGCCCCCCTGCACCCCACAAAGCCCCACGCCCCGTGTCCCTTCGCAGCCCACACCTGTTCCCAGGGATATTTTTAGGGGCAAGTTTAGGAGCAAACAATTCCCATCCCAGCAGGGACAATGCCTGGCATTTTAATCCGGGGGCTATTACGGTCACGGACACGCAGCTGCATGTGCGGGGTCGCTGCCATGGTGGGGACCAGGCACTGCCTTCCCTGTGCCTGGGCACTACGGTGGGAGCTGTGCCCCTGGGGCAGGATGCAGCCCCCAGCCTGGAGCGAGGGGGGTGATGGACACAGTCCCATCGTGTTAGACCCGCACCAGTCACATCCCAGCGAGCCCAGGAGACCCCCCCCTCTGTGCCCACTCTCCTCAGGGCCCCCTCCAAGGACACGTTCCCCTTCCCCGGCTCCCAGCGCAGTGGATCTGCTCCCAGCCCCAAGGAGGAGGCTTTATACCAGCCCCGTTAGACCTTTATAAGGCAACAACCCCCATCGGGGCCGTGCCTCCAGCATCTTTCCTCCCAGCTGCCTTGGGATTGTTTTCGGAGCACAGAGGAGCCAAATTTAGCCGCTGACAAAGGCGCTGCATTCCCCACAGCCGTGCCCCGGGGACCTGAGCAGGGCCCGGGCTGCTTCAGATGCCATTTGCTCCAGTCTCAGGTTTCTTCCTCTGCTGGGACCTGGAGCGAGGAGGAGGAAAGGGCAGGAGAGGGATCAGGCAGCAGGACCCCTGGATTCAGGGCTTCAGCATCGGTTTCAGAGCACGGGTGCTGCCATGAGGGGCCAGCAGCAGGAGCCCAGGATCTCCCCATCGCTCCTCTCCAGCTGATGGGATGATGAGGACGTCTTGGGTCTCCATCCCCAGCTCAGAAACCACAATCAGCTGCCTCAAGATGAGGGCTGTTTTATTAGGTACCACCCGAGGCTATGGGCACCCCCCGGGGCTCCTGATCAGTAGGAAGGGGGCAGGCTGGAAACCATGGGGGAGAGCAGTGCTGAGGCCACATTCAAAGCAAACTCAAGTGCTTCCCCATGGGATGCCATGGAAGGGGTGATACCAACAGAGAAATGTATGGGGAACACAGACCCACCCAGGGCCAAGTCCCCAAGGACAACCCACTTGCCCCATAGGTCCCAGTGGTCCTACAGGTCCCCTGTGGTCAGCCTTTTACAAGTGGACAGCCTTGCACGTGTTTGGATGGACTTGAGCAGTTCCCCTCTCCCTCTGGATGTGCTGAGTCCCTGGAAGATGCTGGTGCTTCCTCACTGCTGGGCATCGGCCCCACAAGCACAGCAGGGACTGCCGGGGCTGCCCTCCAGCTTCAGGTCGAACTGCACTGGGGCTGCAACGGTCCCTGGTGTTGGGACCCCAAACTCGGAAGGTATCTGACAACGGGATCAGGTTGGTTGCTCCATATGAAGCCTATTTCCCTGCAGAAGCAGGCCTGCAGCAAGGCTGGAGGGATTCCTTTCCCTCCTCGAGGCCCTGGAGCCATCCCACCCATGCTGTCCTTGCCCTGGTCCTCCTCTCATCAACCCCAAAGTGCAAAGCAGGGCAATGGGAGACAAACCTTCCACTTCTGGGAATATTGAGGAAAAAGCTGGTTTTCCTTAAATGCCTTGGGGAGACTCAAAATGTTTGCAGAAGGGGCCAAAGCTGAGGAGGGGTCTCTCAAAGCAATGGGGTTCTTTATGAACCCAAGCATAAAGTGCTCCCTGCCCCATGCTACTGGCAGGAAGTAAAGTCTTTACTATATCAGGAGGAATTATCTACTTTGGGATAGTGGAAAGACATTATTCCAATGGAGCTGAGCACCCACTGAAGGATTCCAGCTCTCCATGGTTTTGCCAAGTGACACGTGAAACCTCAACACTGATCTTGTCGACTCTGACAAAACGAGGGGAGGATATTCAATCTGTGTCAATGGGCTGACACAGTTAACAGTGATGTCAGTTTAAACATCCTAAAACCCAGCCTGGTTTCCAGGCTAAGGCAACACATTTCATGGAGAAAAAGAGAATATTCCAAATAACCCCAAATTTCAGGCCTTTTTAGACACTTTTTCAGGGGGGTTAAGGCATTTTCAGGGTATTTCCAGGCTCTCCCATCTCTCTCTGAGACATTCGGTGCACCTCAGCATCCTTTTTGCGGCAGGGCTGGGCTGAGCCATCACCAGGGCATTGGGGCTGCTCAGCCTGGAGAAGGAAGCTGCATGGAGACCTCAGAGCAGCTTCAGTGTCTGAAGGGGGCTACAAGGATGCTGGGGAGGGACTCTTCATCAGGGACTGTAGAGATAAGACAAGGGGTGATGGGTTCAGACTGAAACAGGGGAAGTTCAGGTTGGATCTAAGGCAGAAGCTCTTCCCTGTGAGGGTGCTGAGGCGCTGGCACAGGGTGCCCAGAGAAGCTGTGGCTGCCCCATCCCTGGCAGTGTTCAAGGCCAGGTTGGACACAGGGGCTTGGAGCAAGCACCCCTGCACCCACATTCATCCCCATGGTGCGGCACAAAGGGTGCCAACCCCAGCACCCATGGGTGCTCTGGGGTGGGTGGCACAGGGCAGCCCCAGCACCGGCAGTGGTGGGAGGTGATGGATGGAGCTGGGAGCAGCAGAGCCGGATTTTCAGGCTCCTGCCTTTGCACTTGGGCAGCGCTGGGGAGCCTCGCTCTGCTCAGCACCCAGCACAGGGGTACCCTGGAGCCAGCGCGCTGGGGGGGTGCTGCCGAACACCCCCCTGCCGTGCCTCAGCTTCCCCATCTCCAGGGGCATTGAAAAGCCGCCCATGCATCCTCTCCCTTCTCCTCTTAAGGTGATCTTAAGGTCCTTTCCAACCTTAACTATTCTATGATTCTCCATAAGGGACCTGTGAGCTCCTTTGTATCTATGCAATCAATTAAAAACACCTTCACCATGCTGGGCCTCCTGCAATGCTCCCAGTGCCCTTCTTCCCCCATGCTTGATTTCCCCACATTACTTTCCTGCCTGCAGGAGGTTTTCCCTTAGGTAAAATCACCCCATTTGCCCAATTCCACCCATCAGCACTGGGCCCCATCCTGGTGCTGGGTGCTGGGGGATGCACCAAGCCCTGCCCCTGCTCCGGGGTGGCCTTTTCCTCAGCATCAACTACTGAGCCCTGAGAGGCGACCCCAAACTGCCTCCCACTTGTTCAGCACCCACCCCTGGCCCTGCTCCCAGGGTCAGGCTGTGAAGCCACCCATCCATCCACCAGATCCGGGGCTCTGCACACAGGACATTCCCAATCCTGCAGTAACACGTGGTACAGGCAGGGGCTCTGTTGGTCTGCAGAGAGATGAGGAGCTTAAAACGGGGATGGAAAATCTTGGTTTTCCCTATGCCCAATCTGAAATGGGATTTGCCTTGCTCTTTCTGTCCTCCCTCCTCCATTACACACACCCATCTCGACTGTTTTCTTCCCCAGTTCCTCGCTGGCACTTGGAAAACACAAACCCTCTATTCACAGTGAGAGGGAGCGTAGAAAGGTCGAAAACAAGGAATCGGAGCATCCAAAAGGGGCTCGAAATGCAGAAGAGTTCAGAACCCCCCTTGTGCTGCGTGTTCCCCACCCCTGGGTGTTTGCAGGGCTTTGAGCATCACTGAATCCCCTGGCTCTGGCTCTGGGGATTTACCCCCAGGATGGAGATCCTTGCCTTGGGAATGCTGTGTGAGCATCCCCCCATCCACCGAGAAACCCACTCCCTCCTGAAATGTGTGTGGGGACCAGGCCTGGGGGCTGCTCCGTGCAGGGCTCCATGCCCAGGGTGTTTCCTATGGGCAGGGCCCCAGGTCCCACCATCCCTGGAGCCCACCGTGTTTCGGGCCGCAGCACAGGGATGTGCAGGGTTTAGATCCGGATTCATTTGCAGCCGGTCACAAGCAGGGCGGTGCCTCAGCAAATGGAGCTCTGAGGCTCAGGGATCGTGTTCCTTGGGTGGAAAACCATCAAAATGCTCATTCCCACGTGCTCAGGAAGAGCCGGTGTGATCCTGGCCCTGCACACGGAGCTCTGGCCACGCCACCGTCCCTCCCCACAGCCACCCTGAGGTTCCCCCCATGGGTCCTGCTGGGTCTGGCGGGGGTGGCTGGCGCTCGGGCCGGGGCCGGGATGCTCCGCTCTTGCCATTCCCACGCATCCCGGCAGGAGGATCCGCAGCGCCTCCGGCCGCGGCGCTGGGGCTCAGGCTCCGGCTTGCGCAGCGCCGGTGGCTCCAGGCGCTCGTGTCTGCGGCGCCTGTCGGGGCAGAGCCATCCCCATCCCTGCAGAGCCAGGCGGGCTGCTCCCGGGTCGCCTGCCCGCAAACCAGCCGTGAGAATCCCCTGGGACACAGCCGCAGTGGGATGGGGGACCGGAGAGGCTCGGAGAGGGATGGCGGGGGGGGCTTTGGAGCCCGGCTATGGGATGCTGGAAGCTTTAGGGGGATGCCAACGACCAGCGAGGCTCTGTGCAGGATTTGTGCTCTCCCATGCCCTGCAGGGTCCCACAGATCAAAGCAACACCAGGTAAGCAGCAGAAGGTCCTGTTTGGGGACATTTTTGGTACAGGGAACCAGGGTCTCCATTGCCTTCCCCAGTGTCCCCCACCAGCCTGAGGACAGCTCAGGGCAGGACAGTGTCCAGCAGCACGGCCATGTCACCGTGCCATCGGGTACAGTGCCCAGAGGGGTCCCTGCTGCAACAGCAGCTCTGCAGCCCCTTCTCAACATGGGGGCTACGGGGGATCTGTGTCCCTGGCCACATCCATCTGTCCCAGTGCCACTGGCATTTGGGCAGAGCTCATCGTCACCCTGCTGCCTTCGGGCTCAACCTCATCCCTCCCCTGTCCTGCAGGAGAGGCCCGGGGGTCCCCATCAGTTCACCAAGGTCCTGGCCATGTCAGCTGAGGGCTGGAGGGCCCCCAGGCAGGGATGTCACCTCCTGCCATGTCCGGAGCCAATGATGGTGGCACCAACTGTGTCCTTTGCCCATTGTGCCAAGGGGATGTGGCTGGATGCCTGCAGCTGCACCAGCCCAGCTCCCGCGATGCTGCTGTCCTGCCCCAGGACAAGGGGATTCAGCACCCACACTGATGTCCACAGGGCCACCATCCCCATCCCCTGAAACAGACAGCGGTGGCCTCACTCGCCCGTATGGATCTCATTGTCCCTGCTGCCCGCTGAGCCAAGGGCCATCTCCATCCTGCTCTTGGGATGCTGCATGTCCACGGGCTGTCCCACCGGGGCTGCGTCAAACTGCACCACTGCAGAGAGATGGAGCTTGTCACCCAACTGGACGGTGCTGGGACATGGATCCAGCCCCGAGGGAAGCTGGGGAGAGGAACCAGCCACGGTCCTCACCGTCATCCCACGTGCAAGATGGCAAAGGGCCCTATATCCCTTGGGACCACCCCAGACAGAGGGAGGGTGTTAGAAAGTCCCTCTCCAGCTATGCATGGAGGTGAAACCCAATGGGGGATGCAAAGGGCAGAGAGGGGGGACACAGGACCACCACCCAGCAGGCCTATCCCCATCCATGGCACCCTCTCTGTGATCCCCATGGGGAATCACTGAACCACTCAGAGATGGGACCTCGGGTGGGTCCTGCCCCCCGACCCCGCGGTGCAGGGGTCCTGTACCTGCTCGGCAGCTGTGCCGGGCGCGGACGACCTGGATCGCCTGCTGGTTCTTGAAGCGGACGAGCCCCATGGTGATCGCGGCGTTCCAGCCGGGGTCCTCCTGCGCGCAGCGGAAGTCGATCTCGTGGCTGTCGTCCATCACCACGGTGAAGTAGATGTGCCGCTCCTTCCACTCCACGCACTCCACCGCCTTCATGCGGGCGAAGCTCAGCTCCTTGCGCCGCGAGCCCTTGGGCTCGAAGAGCTGCAGCCCCTTCTCCGTCAGCAAGCAGCGCTTCTTCTTCCAGAGCTGCAGCAGCCCCCCGCTGCGCTTCTCCAGCACCCCCTCCCTCAGCACCTTCTCGGGGGTCATAGCGGCTCCTCAGCCCCCGCGTCCCTCAGCACCGCGGCATCACCCACTCCGCCTCAGAGCCAAGGGTCCCAGGACCCCACGGGGCACTCGCCAGCGGCGCTCAGAGGGGGTGCGCAGCGGGGACCCCCATTGCTGGCCCCAGCCCTGTTGCCGGGGCTCTGCTCCCAGCGCTGCGCAGCGTGTGTGGGATCCCGGCACCGCGCGCCCCGGGAGCTGTCGCTACTTGCCCGGCCGCTTCCCACTCGCATTCCTGCCGCCTCGCCTGGCCCCTCCTGCGGCGCAGGCACCCACAACGCCCGGGCGAAGCCCGGCCAGGCCCAGGCGGCCCCGCGGCACCGGGAGGAGCTTTTGGGGTTGCCCCGAGGGCCTCGTGTGAACCGGCAGCGGGTGGGGATGGGGCTGCACCGCAGCGGGGCTGGGGCAGGGCTGGGGCACGGCAGGGAAGCCCGGGAATGGGGTGCAGTGCAGGCTGCTGGGTGCAGTGCAGGCTGTTGGGTGCAGTGCAGGCTGTTAGGGGTGCAGTGCAGGCTGTTGGGTGCAGTGCAGGCTGTTGGGTGCAGTGCAGGGTGTTGGGGTGCAGTGCAGGCTGTTGGGGTGCAGTGCAGGCTGCTGGGTGCAGTGCAGGCTGTTGGGGTGCAGTGCAGGCTATTGGGTGCAGTGCAGGCTGCTGGGTGCAGTGCAGGCTGTTGGGTGCAGTGCAGGCTGTTGGGGTGCAGTGCAGGCTGTTGGGGTGCAGTGCAGGCTGCTGGGTGCAGTGCAGGCTGTTGGGTGCAGTGCAGGCTGTTGGGGTGCAGTGCAGGCTGCTGGGTGCAGTGCAGGCTGTTGGGTGCAGTGCAGGCTGTTGGGGTGCAGTGCAGGCTGCTGGGTGCAGTGCAGGCTGTTGGGGTGCAGTGCCAGCTGGCACAAGGCAATAGGGTGCAGTCCTGTTGGGGCTGGGGGGCTCTTGGTGCAGTACCAGCCAGGAAGGGGCTATAGGGTACGGTGCTGGTTGAAGTGGGGGCTGTGGGTCTGTGTATGCAGCACCAGACAGCCAGGGGCTGTGGGAACCCCTGGGCGGGGGCTCACATTCAAGCAGGTGACATCTGGTGTCTGTGCAGGGCTGCCCTGCATTGGGCACAGCCCTCGGCACCCACCTAGCCCTGCACCCAAGGGTGCTGCCCCAGCCCTCAGCAGCACATCTCCCACTCCCCCCCATTCCCCGGGGCAGGGATCTGAAGCCCCCAGCAGGGCCCAGCATCGCTCGTGTGAGCGGTGCAGGGGGATGCAGCGCCCAGCGCGGTCCCGCCGGTGTCCGCCCTCCCCTGCAGCAAAACACCGGCTCCTTTCCGCCCCGTCTCGTTCCCGTTCCGGCCACCGCAGCTCCTCTGTTCCTGTGCCAGCGCCTGGCACCGAGAGTCACGGTGGGGACACCCGAGGCTGCCAAAGCGGGTGATGGTCACTGCCTGCTGTGGTGCTGGGAGCCCGTTGGCCCAGCCAAGGGGAACAAATCACTGCATGGGGCTGGCAGCGCCCAGCCCAGCCCCTGGCTCCCGCATCACCCCCGGGGGGTGCAGCCCCTCCTGCTCCAGCCCCTCCATCGCTTCGGTCCCTGCAGCCGGCGTGGCCGGGGGAAACGTCTGCAGCGCCTTGAGCTGCTCCTCATTATCCCTCATTAAGAGGGCAGGGCAGCGCCTGCCGCAGCCAGAACTGGTTCGTGCTCCCCGGGGCCAACCTCACCGCGCTGGCGGAGATCCCGGTGTCCCAGGACACCCCGTTTCCTGACGTCAGGAGGCCCCGGCTCCCCCGCAGCCCTCTGCATCCCTGCAAGCGCAGTCCCGGGTGCCACCAGGAGCACCCCAGCAGGACCGGGAGGAGCAGAGCAGAAGTGTGGCCTCCCCCCACGCTCCAAAGGAGCATCCGAGGCTGTTTTCCCACGCCCAGGTAAAGCTCGGCTTCAGGGATGCTGAGGTGAGAAGTTTCGGGATTGGTGCTCCCAGGTCTGCTCCAGCGAGCTGGGATGTCCCTGGGCGCTTTGGTTGCCCAACCAGACCAATCTCCTTCCCCTCCGGGAAAGCCAAGGGCTGCCAAATCCCCCCGAAACCCAAATCCAGTTCCAGATCTGCTGCTCACTGCTTCTCTAGCCTCCTCCGGTGATCCTGCCCCTCAGCTCTGCTCTCATGAGACCCCTCCTTGCAGCACTGGATGCAGTTTTGGCATCCTCAGTGTAAGGACATGGAGCTGTTGGAGCAAGTCCAGAGGAGGCCACCAGGATGCTCAGGGGCTGGAGCAGCTCCTGTATGGAGACAGGATGAGAACATTGGGGCTGTTCAGCCTGGAGAGGAGAAGCTGCATGGAGACCTCAGAACAGCTTCCAGTGTCTGAAGGGGGCTACAAGGATGCTGGGGAGGGACTCTTCATCAGGGACTGCAGTGATAGGACAAGGGGTGATGGGTTCAGACTGAAACGGGAAGTTCAGGTTGGATCCGAAGCAGAAGCTCTTCCCTGTGAGGGTGCTGAGGCGCTGGCACAGGGTGCCCAGAGAAGCTGTGGCTGCCCCATCCCTGGCAGTGTTCAAGGCCAGGTTGGACACAGGGGCTTGGAGCAAGCTGCTCTAGTGGAAGGGGTCCCTGCCCGTGGCAGGGGTTGGAGCTGGAGGAGCTTTAAGGTCCCTTCCAATCCAAACCAGTCTGGGATTCTCTGATTCTATTCTATGGGTTCCATCACCACCAGCCTCCAGGCCACAGGGTGCTCGGCCACGAGCCAGTCCTCTGGTTCATCTCTTCAGAGGCCAGTCTGGGTCCCACAGCCCCTCCATGCCGGCAGCAGCAAGGGATGGATGCTGCTGGGTGCCATGTGGCTCTGCTACCTCAAAAGGGAGCTGGGCAACACTTGGGTGCTGGCGTCCAGCACCAGGCTGTGCCCATGCACAGGGAGCTGTAACCAGCAGAGGGTAGCAGATGGTCAGAGCATCCTGCTGCAGTTTGGGCAGGGGATGCCCCGAAAGCATCCTTGATCCCACTCCCAGCCCCTGGGCCTTGTCCACCACCTCCTCTGGCTTAAGCAGGAGGCTGGATATGAGACCTCTGCAAGGCCCTTCTGCCCGACCTGCTTCTGTCTGTGACCCTGTGAAACCCAAATGCAGCACTTTCCCCTGGCCCTAAGGAGCAAACAGCCTCTGTGGGGTCCATCACACTTGGTGCATGTCAGTACATCCCCTCTCTCCAACACAGCCTCTACAGCTATGGGAAGAAGAGACTAAAGAATCATAGAATCAGACTGGTTTGTGTTGGAAGGGAACTTAAAGCTCCTCCAGCTCCAACCCCTGCCACGGGCAGGGACACCTTCCACTAGAGCAGCTTGCTCCAAGCCCCATCCAACCTAGCTGCTCTGCATGGCAAGTGCCATCTGCTATCGCCTGACCACCCCAACCACACACCTCAGAGCAATGGGACCAAGTAGAATTTGGGTCTCTGGCTGTGAAACCAGGGATCTGGGAGGGGTTTTGAGATGTTTAAAGAGTGACTCCTCCTAACAGCTTCGTGTAAAACCCAGGCTGTGAGGAACTGACAAAGTGCTTAAGCCAGTAAATAAGCCCCAGTCCTGCCTCACAGAAAGATTTTTGCCTCTGTTGCGCTTCTCCAATCACTGCCCACCTCATTTCCTCAACCACAATGCTTATAGCTTGGAAAGAAAAACAACCAAAGTGAAATTCCCTGTGGAGTTCCTAACTCCACGCTGCAGAAGGGCCGATCCTGTGGGTGCATCCCACCAGTGAAACCAGAGAATCACAGAAAGGGAAGAGCTGAGTTATTCAGCACTGTTTGGAGCAGCACCAGCACTGAGAGGGGTGTCCATGTTGCGCTACCAACACACCCAGCAGTGTCTGTCCTTGGCCTCCCAGCACCAACCACTCTTCTTCCCATGGATATCCACCAAGGGAGCAGGGAGAGCCCGGCCTGGCTGCCCTATAGAGCTCAGCTGGGCTGGCTCAGGTTGCACCGAGCAGTCCCTGCCTTCCATTGCAAACCACGGCTCCCAACGCTTCCCATCCTCCCTCCACCTCCTGACCCAGCTCTGGTCCCCCCCCCCTGTGCACCTCCGGAGCCCCGATGGGGAATGAACTCCAGGCACGGCTCAGTTTGGATGTTTATTGCTGGCACGGCTGAGCGCGCATCCCGGCGGGATGGGCAGCACGGAGCGGGACGTTGCGGGCCTGGCTGCGGGTGGTGTGAGCTGACCCCCCCCCCCCCCCCGCTGGCACCCGCACCAGCAGGACCTGCTGGGAATGATGCTGGGAACCCCACGGTGTCAGGATGCGCCGGGTCAGGGCGGGAGGACGGGGCTCGTGCTGTGAAGCAGCGGGTGGTTACTGGTGGTGGTGAGGATGCTCGCTGCGGTGCGGTGCGGGTCGAGCAGCGCAGGCTGGTACAGAGGAGCCCTGGGTACCGGCTCCTGGTGCCTCACTGTGAGTGGACCAGCGCCCCGGCACCCTGCCCGAAGCCAAAGCCCTTGGGACCAAAGTTCTTGGCGTAGCAACCTGCAGAGGATGGGAAGGGAGAGACGGGTAAGACCGGCCGCTGGACACGAGCAGGTCCCCTCATCTCAAAGCAGGCACTGCCTAAACAGGACAGGGTTTGCTGGGCTTGTTGGGCAAACAGAGAGGCCTCAGGCACAGCAGGAAACCCAACCAAACCTCAGCCCCATCCTGCTCCATGCACGGGCAGGCCCTGCCTCCACCCTTTGCAGCCTGGGACAAGGCAGCGGGGAAGGTGGCACTGCCCCAGGAAGGTGGCACTCACAGGGAAGGTGGCACTCACCTTTGCAGTAGATCTCCCCATCTTTATCTGCCAGGGTGGTGGACTCCAGGCTTTTGCCACACTTGGCACAGCGGAAGCAGGACTTGTGCCAGGACTGTGGGACAGGAGCAGAGCCCGGTCAGACACCCCTGGGGGACAGGAAGCGAGGCTCTGGCTTCCCAACACCATCACTTCCCTGGTTCTGACCCGAAGCCATTGGCAAAGAGGGTTGAGAA